TCTGCATTGACTAATTTTCCTCATGTAACAAGGGTAATTCTGTTCTCAAAAGTTCATAAAGTTTTGCAGACTTGCCAAAACAGACACTGATTTTTCAGCCTCCTCTTTTATGCTATTTCCAGATATTTAAGCCCTGCACATCTTCTGTTACCATTTATTGTATTACACGATCTGTAACAGCAAGCTTTTGCCCAGTAATGTTGCTTTTCCAAAAACAGTGCTGTTCTCAAAATGAGACAACCACTTAGGTAACATGAATGGGTTTTTTCCTGTTCAATATCCCTTTCTGCTGGTCTCTTCTTGCGAATAACCTGGCCCCTCCTGCCTTCATGACCAGGTGGCATTACCTTGTTACTATTGAATGGGAGAATCACTATGCAGTACTAAATGAGGTTTGTCACATTGCCAAGACTCATATTCTGCAGCTTGAGGGGCATAATGGCTGCATTTGCACCACAGGGCAAGCAACCCTGCGCGCTTCCCATAGTTTGTGATTTTCATTCGACCTACTTGTCAAGCAATCAGGCTCAGGGTGGTAAGCTTCCCTCAGTGGCGCAAGGGAAGGGTACCTGCTCCATGCTCAGGCAAAGGCGGCGGTGGGGGAATCGGTGGGGTGGCGCTTCAGAAAGAAAACCGCTGCCCAGCTGATTCCCCTGCTGCCCACCTGAGGCAAGCCGCACAGGTAGGCGACTCACCCCTCCCACATTGGTCCCCCCCCAAAACTCCTGCTTGAGAGGCACCCCCAGCCCAGTGCTAGGGAGTAGGCATGGGAGAGGAATCCGTTTTGGGGTTGGGAATCCTGGCTCAGCTCCCTGGACTCGGCTCTGCTTTTCTGTGACTCTGGGTCCGAGTTCCTGGCGAGGAATTAAGCCCTGTGCAAATCCTACACTAATGCTGCTGCCTCTCCTGCTTTTCAGTCTTTGTCCGTGCTGCATGTGACACAGAAGAAGGTAGCCGGTTGTGCAGCCTTTGTTCTGCGAGCGCTCATGGACTCCTTGGCTCGGTTTGCTTTCTAAGGCAGGGAGGGGCACAAGAGGAAGTCCGTGAGTGTGAGAGACAAATGCCATGGAGTGTCATTGCAACACTGCTGGGAGCACCTTTCTCCCAAGCAGGAGTGGGAAAGGAGGGGGCGCCCCACTTCCTCCTCATTGTCGCCATGCGAGAGAAAGGTGCTGAGGTGGCTGCCAGGTTGGGGGTGCCTCTCCCTCAGCAGGAGTAAGGGGAAGGTGCAGGGGAATCAGCTGAGCAGCACGCCCTCAGCCACGTACCTCTGCCCAGCTGAGTCTTACCCCTCCCAGGTGTGTGTGTGAGGGGCTTTTTTCAGGTGCGTGTGCAGGGGGGCGTCAGGTGAATTATCTGAGCAGCACTGCCCTGCTGATCACTCACTCCTGCTCCAAAGATCTTTAAGGCAGGAGGTGGGCAGAGTGGGAACCCCTCTAACAGCCAGGACACATGGCAGCTGTCGGTGGTGACAATGAATGCTCTTCTCAAGCAGCTCTCTGGTTCTGGCCTTCATCCTATAATGGGTTGTGCTTTCCTGGTTTGGATGATAGCAGAGCAAGGCATGGTGGTATGGAGAAGCCATTGTTTCTGTTTGTGATTTCTAAAGATCAAGCTGAAATACCACAATGGGGTTTGGATGACGCAACAAGCCATGGTGGTTTTTTACTATTGTTGATCTGTCATCCAAACCTAGTCATGGTGTTTCTCCCTGGCAAATGGATCTTTAGAAATCATAATAAGAAAAAAACTTTTATTCTGTGGTTCCTCTGTATCATCATGGCTTGGTGTGTTGTCCGAACCCAAGATCATGGTTTCCACAGTCTTGGTATACAATTACCGCAGAGTCCCCTGCAAAGAGCGGCAACTGCAAAAGCTGTTCCAGGCATCCACACCAATGAGGGAGAGGCAGGTGACACAGTCAGGGAGCAGTGCACTTTGGGATTGAATTTCAGGCAAAGTGACTGATGGGATATGTGCCAAAAGCAGGAGGACTGAGCAAGAGATTGGAAGCTACTTAATTATCCATTGGTAGATCATGGTAAAAAAAAAAGCCAGCATGATAACTATGCAGGGTTCCATATTGTATTGTATGAACGCAGCCCATATGTAATAGCTATGCTTGCCCTGCTATGGCTGGATAAGTCTCCATGCTAGGTAAATAGAAGGATAAATACAGTAGGTTAAGTCAGTGGAGCAGGAAAATGGTCAAGCACAAAGGTTTCGGTCCAATATGGGAACAGGCTAACACAGGAGTGATCAAGATCCATGCAGTGGTCAAAGCACAGTGTTATTGGCAAGTAAGTTGCTTCCAGAAGAGAGATCTGAGTGAGGTCCAGCCAAAGTCAAACCATGGAAATGTGGTCAGACAAAATGCTGTCCAAAAAGCAGACTTGGGCAGGAGTCCAGAGGGCAGTCAGTGAACAGGCACAAGGCAAGGTCATGGAAACAGGACACCAAAGCATGCAGCCGGTAGAATGTTGTTCCAGCAACAGTAAGTCTGAAACAGAAGGCTCCTTAAAGCCAGGTCTTCTGTGTCCCACTTAGGGCTCAGCTGCAGTTTATTAAAGGCCCTTTGCTAGAAGTTTCCTACTCAGGGGGAAACCTTGCTCTTGAGGAGTCCTTTCCTTTCGCGTGCTGCTTTGCAATTCAGGACTTCTTCTCAAAGAAGCCCAACTGGCTTGTCCCTTGAGGCAATTGTGCTCTTAGGGGACAGGCGACCAGCTTGGCATCCCCTTCTGCCTCGGATGCTGAGCTCCCTGCCTGTCAAGGAGGCAGATCTGAAGGTGACGCTCCCTCCTGGAACCTGTTTCTGGAGACACCTGGCTCTGAAGGTCCAAAACCCTTCTTCTGATGAGATATTGCCCGGGGGTGCCTGCCAGTGTTCATTTTGGTTAAACACACACACCCCAACTGATTTTTTCAAATGAGAATTCTAAAAAAGTGCATCTCTCACCTAGACACTGGCTCTGCACCAGCCTTCCCCATCCTGGCACCTTCTAGATGTGTGAGAGCACAACTCCTCTACTTATGGGAATTGTGATGTAGCACATCTGGAGGGCATCTGGTTGGGGAAGGCAGCTCTACACATGGAGTGTCCATCTTTTTCATGGCTGGGCTCTTGTGACTTTCTTTCACCGCAGCATGACAGCTAAAACTTCAACTGGCACAGCATTCCTTGCAAGACAAGCTGCTTGTCTTTTCCTGAAGGTCTCCCCATCCCATCTAAAGAGTCATCTTAGGGACACCGAGCTGAGCAGCGAAGATGGCTTCAGTATGAGAGTGTGAGTCAGGGCTGGAAGGGGGCCTCGAAGAGAAGGGTGGCGCAGGGTGACACATGCATTTGGGTGGCTGACAGTAGGATAAACTTGGTAAACTCATGACACATTGGAATTAATGGCCTGAGTTGTTCTGCCTAATTATGAGGAATCAAAACTCCCTATGCTAAACAAATCCCAGCAATAGAGACATTCTCCATATGAGAATCCCTTCCTGTCATCCTGTCCCATTTCTTTCCCAATTTGTGTGCCAACCCTCAGGTTACCTAAGCCTAGGTGACAACAATGCTGTGACTCAGCTGCTTTTCAGTTCATGGTACATTTGCACTGTTTGTTGAATGCTAATTTAGGGAGGGTTAGCCTAGGGGACACTCTTACAATTCGACCTACAGCTTCTCTTACTTGATGACGGCTATTTCCCCATGCCTGGTACTATGCCTTCCCCATGAAAAACAAGGTATATTTTGAAATAGATTCAGAATCCTGGTTAAACAAGTACAACATTAGCAACAGAGATTGGAGATACACCTTTAATGAGAAGCAACAGCTGGACTACCTCAATCAAAACCCATAAAGTACGGTTTGGTGTTGTATGTAAATCAAATTAACTAACTTATTTACCCATTTTAAACCAGCATTTCCTGACAGAAAGCACAGATTCTTCAAAATTTTACCTCAATAGTCTTCCTGCTCTACTTCTGCTGCTCTATGATAGGTGGTAGCAAAATAAATTTTAAAAAAGCCAGGATTAAAAGTATGCCTGGGCTAAAGAGCCAGAGTGGCATAGCGGTCAGTGCTGGACTGTGACTTGAGAGATCCTGGTTCCAGTCCCCACTCAGTCATGAAACTCACTGGGTGACTTTGGGCCAGTCACTCACTATTGACTGACAAACCCACCACACGAGGTTTATTTATTTATTTATTTATTTAGAATTTTTGTATGCCGTCCCATCGCTTATAGCCTCGGGATGGCTCACATAAATAAATAAACATAATACATAAAAAATAATACAATTAAAAACCCAGAATCACCCTGGCTGCAAAATTAAAACCTATAAGTATTATTAAGAGTTGTTAAAATATCGTTTAAATAAAAAGGTCTTCGCCTGGCACCGAAAAACAAATAATGACAGTGCCAGGCGGACCTCTCTGGGGAGCGCATTCCATAGAAGGGGCTGAGATAAAATGTTGATGTTCTGAGATAAAATGGAGAGGAACAGAACCTTGTAAGCCACTTTGGTTTCTTGAAAGAAGAAGAAAGCTGGGATATGAATGTAATGATGATAATCCTTGAAGGCAGGCCATTGATTAGCTATCTCCTGCTAGGTAAGGACAGGAGCGTGGGAGACATTTGACTAGGGTGGATCAAAAGACCTGTTCTTAGTTTTGCTGTTGGTCTGCTGAGACTGGCACATCCTCAAGAGAAGTCTTGAATTCTTCACACTAAAACTGTCTTAATAACTTACACTGCCATCCCCAAACTATCTATGATGTACTCCTCCAAACCCAGAAGCCATCACCATGACCAGATGTAACTGAGCATAGCTTTCTTCTTCCTCATATCGACACCAACTGCAAGTGACCACAACTCCTGCAGTGCTCCACATCAGTGTAACGTATTCAGGAGCATGGCTTAGGATCGTCCCTCCTGCTGTCACTGGCCTGGGTTGTGCTTGGAAATGCTCCTCTTGCTCCTCATGTGAGGCATGGCAGCACGTCCCCCTACACAGTTTCAGGTGCCGGGTGAGCTTGGGAAGCCCCCCGGGATGCTGAGGCAGGTGTCATGGTATACCTGGTGCTGATGGTACGGCCTGACACACACTGATATTCGGCAAGCTCTTTCTTTTCTTTCCCATTCTGACAGATAGTGAGCTCCACTGGCACTGTGGTGGTGGTCTCTTTCTTGACCACCTGAATGGAGAGCTGGGTGCATGGGGGGATCTTGGCTGGCAGCAGAACTTCCACTTTCTCACTGGTGGTGGTGGACTCATGCTTCCCTTTCTCCACTGTAAAGATGTTGGCACCTCCCAAAGTGACTTGGAAAGAGAAGCCCAATTCTAGAGATGTGGCATTGCTGAAGTGGAAGTTCTGGAACACCATGGCGGTATATTCCCGGGAGGTGTTGGCAGTGAAGGCTTGCTCGTATTCTGTGCAGTTGGTTCCCACAATCTCATCGATTAGAATTTCCTTCTCAGCCTCCACTTTCTTCTGGTCCCACAGTACTTTTGCAGTGATGATGGGGCGGCCAGGCCGCAGGGGGCGCAGGTGAGATACACTGTCATCAAAATCAATCTCTGTTTTGTAGTCCTGTATGCACTCCCCAGGCCAGGCAATATGGTGCCATCCGCCGCGGTTTGGGTGCTTGTACAACAGCCACACTCCTCTCTGAACCACATGGGAGGAGACACGGTCATTGAAGTAGCCATAGGTGAGGTTGGTCTCTTCCTTCACCACCTTGTGTTGCCCTTCAAAATTTGGGTGCTCGTACAGTGTGATCTTAGGATCTGAGAGATCGTGGTGAACCAACCGGAGGGAAGAGATGTTGTTGTTATTGTTGATCTTTCCATAATCACCTTCCTCAAAAGCAAAACCATCTCCTTCAAACCTGGGGGCTTTGTAGGCCACCCAGGGCTGCCCAATCACCTTCAGAGAAGAGATGCAGTCACCAAAATCCAGCTCATGTAGATCAGGGATGTCACTGACAAACTCTTTGCTCAGCCCTTCAAAATTAGGCTTGTCATACACAATTATCTTATTCATGCTGGACTCTTTGTGGGACATTTAGACCTCTTCAAGAGCTTCTTCCAAGGCAAGTTTGTCTTGTCCTAAGTTGGAGCTGCTGGAAAGAATGGTTAAGTCAATTTCATATGAATGTACTTCTGTGGTGCTATTTCTCTCTCCTTTCAAATTCTCCAGTATCCATATTTTCCATGAAACTTATGACTTAATGCATGGGTGGGAAATGTCCCCCCTCCCCACTGAGGGTTGTGTTCCCTCAAAGGTTAGGGGCCACATGCCAGTGATCAATGAGGCCAGAATCAGAAATGCGCATGCCTACTGTATTCTCTGTGTTTTACTGCCACCTTCTCATTTCTCTCCTCATTGTCTTTCCCTCACAGTCACCCCCCTACCCTCTCTCTCCAGCACCACCTTTCTTTGCTCTTTGCAAAATCCCCTTCTCTCCCCAATCTTCTTTCCTACCCAGCTGGCTTTCAGGGGAAAGAGACTTCATTCACGCATGCCAGAGGCCTAAACTGATCCCTTGCAAACAGCTTTTGAAATTAGGCTGAGGGGCACAGGTTGCCCACCAGAAATTAAGTGTCTCAGTCCTCCCTCTCTATTGAAAGAGTAAGTGAAGACTGAGACAAAGCCCACACTTGTCTCTTTTTACCTTTGCCTCTATTCCCCCATCCCTGCCACTGTTTCTTTTGCCAAGAGTAGGTAGAAAGGAGTCGAGATTTTATGGTGTAGCATCAGTATTTGGGCCATATTGCACCATACAGAAAGATTACATTTCAGGCAGTTCTGTTCATCCATAAAACTTTCTTCTGCCAACAAAGCAGATCCAAATAGTTTTTGTGGTCTTAAAAAGTGGTCAGTCAGCCTTCCTTCTTTAAGAGAAGATGGTATGTAAAGTGATAACATGAAGCTAGGCCTACATGATACAGATGAATTGGCTCAGCTGATGGGAAAGCATGTGAGCATGTAAACAACCAGCTTCTCAAGAAGAACGGCAGGCTTAAATGCAGCCAAGAAGATGCTGGCGAGGATGGGCCTCGTCAGTACTGGCTCCATAGCTGGGAGAACCTTCGGGCAAGATGGGCCTCCTTCCACAGTGGCACCAATTTCTCACCAGCTTTCTTGCACCTCCTCCCTTTCTCAGCAAAGAGCCAGGGAGCAGATCAACAGCAGCACCTTCTGCTCTTCTTTCTCACCACCAACTTTGTCCAGACCCGAGCAGGAGGCTGAAGAACAAGCAGATCGCAAGGGTGAAGTGCAGGAGCAAGTCCAGGGAACTCTAGGCCTCTGCCAGTATGGCCTCCCAGCAGGGCTGCTGAAACTTGCCTGAGGCCCTGTGCCCAGTCCTCAGGGCCAAATAGATAAGATGCTGGCTAGAACTTCTTGGAGCTTTTAAACTGGGAAATTTGGGTATGGCGTGGAAGGAAGGTCTAATCTGGATGTGGGAGGCTGCTGTTCACCTTTTCTGCCATGCTAGGGTGGCCCCTTATGAATGCCCAAAAAAGGGAATGTATCACTGAAAAAGAACCTAAAAGGTAGCATCAATCTGCATAAAATGTGTGCATGCCAGTTTATATGTGCACATGCAAATTCAGGTATTACATTACAGTACAGATATTATAATGCAGTCCATCTCACTACGGTGTGGAGGACTGTTACATGTGGAGGTGGCCTACGTGTGCCTGCCCATTCAGCCTGCTAGTGACCGATGGGCAACTTCAGAGACTGGCTCTGCCTTCTTTAGACTGAACTTGCACTGGGCATCACTTCAAACAGAGGACTGTCTTCCTTAAACAAGTACATATGACACCCCACGTGCAGTTTTTCTGATGTAAATCACCCAGGGGCTGTGTTTGGACTGCAATTCCCATCACTATTGGCTAAGCTGGCTGGGGCTGGTGGGAATTACAGTCCAACAACATTTGGATGGCCATACATTCTCAAGTCCTGCTTTCTGCTACTCATCAGTAGCTATCATGTGGACAGCAGCCTAAACGGGCTGACAGTTCACACAGTCTTGTATTTCTTTTTCTATTTAATTCAACATTTACACCCATACATATAAAGTAGCATGCATACATTTAATGAAAATTTTAATCACCTTTCTTTGTAATTGCCTCTGGGGCTTTTGTTTTGTTTTGTTTTGTTTTGTTTTGTGGCAATGTGAAGCAAGTCACATCCTTCTTGCAAGTTTCCTGGGACATTTGGCTAGCCCATTTTGGAGGCCCCCAAAAGCTGAACTCAGCGCATTCTTGGCTTGAAGTATTTTTCTCCCCCTGTTCACTAATGGAATTTCCTCCAGCGTAACCCCATAGCTGTCTTGTAATTTAATATACATCACAAGAGGGAGAAAGGTGATCTAACCCTCATGACAGATGTAAACCCATTTGCCCTATGTTGCAATGCTTGGATGATTGAAGGATAGATTTCGGCTGCTGTGCCACAGGCTCACAAACTGTTCCTCTGTCCCTGCAGGAGAACCCACTCCTTCTTCATAGGCTAAGCCTCAAACTCTAGACCGTGATTATTTTTTGGTAGGATGAGTGAATATATTATTTGTGGTTTTCTTCTTCTGGGCAGACAGTGGTTTGCATTCTCTCTCCCTCAAAGGGTTATCCTGGCATATGCCTTTTCATGATAGAATCCACGTTATCAGTGTAAACAGTACAAAATACCAAGTTAAATAATTGTGAGACTCATCCTCATGACCACAGGGAAGGAAAGTTAAGGGGAGATTCAAGCAGAATCCAGCATGTGGTTATATGGTTCTGTGGTTTGCCGAATCACACATTCAGCTCAGATTCAGATGATATTGACAGTACAAATGCTTTTTAGGTTGGATAGCTTTTCGCTGGCTCAGGAAATGTAGTTAAACTTACAGTGACCACTTACACACGGGCAAAAGAGAGTGCATGCAACTTCACAAGAGAGAGTGCTGTTTACATTAAAAGCAAATTTGAAAGGCATTCTCATCACTTTGAAAGGATTTTTAAAAAATAGTACTTGTGTAATTGAAGATTTTGAACTAGTTTTTATATTTTAAACAAAAATGCAATTTCAAAGCAGAGAAGAATATGACCCGGTGACCTTTTTTCCCATCTGTTCAGGCTGCTGCCCAGCTATTAATTGTTTCAGAGTCTTTACTGATCTCTTTTTTATGGCTTTTAATCTTTATATTAGATTAGAATGGATAATCATAGAAACATAGAAACAGAGTGAGTCAGAAGGGACCTCCTGGGCCATCTAGTCTGACCTCCGGCACCAGCCGTCTCCACTCATGACATGCCCACCTTGTGCATGTGCAGCCTATCCCTGAACACCCGCACCAATGGGGCCTCAGCGACCTCTCATGGAAGCCCATTCCACACCCTCGGGGTTTTAACTGTCAGGAAGTGCTTCCTGGCATCCAAATGGAACCTGGGTTCTCTGAACTTTGCTCCATTGGAGCGTGTCCTGCCTTCCTCTGCAGGGCAGAACAGGTCTCTACCCACCTCCGTGTGACATCCCCTCACATACCTGTATGTCGCCAACATATCCCCTCTGAGTCTCCTGTTCTCCAGGCTGAAGAGACCCAGTTCCCTCAGTCTCGCCTCATACGGCATCCCCTGCAAACCGGCCACCAACCTTGTGGCCCTACGCTGCACTGACTCTAACCTGGCTATATCCTTTCTGTAATGAGGGGCCCAAAACAGAGCACAATACTCCAGTTGCGGGTGCACCAGAGTTGTGTAGAGTGGTAGTAATACCTCTCTTGATCTAGAAGCCACACTTCTGGCTATGCAACCAAGGGTGGTGTTTGCCCTCTTGACCACCGCATCACACTGCTGACTCATGTTTAGGCTGCAGTCAAGCAGTACCCCGAGGTCACTTTCACAAGTGCTGCTCTCCAGCCACTTGTCACCTAACCTGTACTTATGACAGCTATTCCTATGCCCCAAGTGCAAGATCTTGCACTTATCCACATTGAACGCCATCCTGTTGTCTCCTGCCCACTTCCATAGTCTGTCCAGATCCTTTTGGATCTGAAGTACCTGCTCCTCAGTTGTGACCACTGCTCCAGTTTTAGTGTTGTCTGCGAATTTGATCAGCAGACTGTTCACCCCTTCTTCCATGTCGTTAATGAAAAGATTAAACAGGATCAGCCCCAGGACAGAGCCCTGGGGTACCCCGCTTGTCACTGGCCGCCATCCCGATGATTCCCCGCTAATGGTTACCTTCTGCTTTCGGTCAGTTAACCATGCCCTAATCCACCAGACAGTGCTTTGGTGTATCCCAAAACTCCTCAGTTTCTCCACCAGGATATCATGGGGCTCTTTGTCAAAGGCCTTGCTGAAATCCAGGTATACCACATCCACTGCATCCCCTCCATCTAGCCATCTCGAAACCTTGTCACAGAATTCCACAAGGTTTGTCTGGCAGGACCTGTTTTTGCGGAAGCCGTGTTGTGTGGCTGTCAGCCTCCCTTCCCTATCTAGCATCACTAGATCTCTCTCTATTATGAGCCTTTCCATTGTTTTTCCTACAATGGACGTAAGGCTAACTGGTCTATAATTCCCCATGTCCTTTCTATTACCCTTTTTGAAAATTGGGACCACTGATGCCACCCTCCAGTCCTCTGGAACTTCACCCGTTCTCCACGAGGCCTCAAAAATGGAGGCCAGCGGGCGTGAGAGAACCCCTGCCAACTCTCTAAGTACTCTCGGGTGTAACCCGTCAGGGCCTGGCGCCTTTGTAATGTCCAATGCCCTGAGGAGCCCCTTGACTTCAAGGGGGGGTGACTCTAATCTGTGCCCCTAAGTCCTCAGCCTCATCTAATCTCCTATGCGGATATCCCCTGTCCTGCTTTGGGGAGGACACAGAGGCACGATAGTCATTTAGCTTCTGTGCCTGTTCCCTCATATCAGTCACTGGATCTCCTTCCTTCCTTATTTAGTGGTCCCACCACTTGTCTCCCCTTCCTCTTCCTATTTACATGCTGAAAGAAGCCCTTTTTGTTGCTCTTGATATTCTTGGCAAGTCTCAGCTCGTAATCAGCCTTAGCCTTGCGAAGAGTCCTTCAAATAGAGGGCACTTTCAAACAGATGGTGCTCTGGCAACCTATAGAACTGTCCGCAGTAAGAGAGGAGACTTGTCTGCCCACAAAATGGGCATTCCTGAGCAATGGCAGGTGACCATCCCTGCCTAAACTAGGGATTCCTCACTGTACCAAGTTTCCCAAGATGCCAGTTCGGCTGAGTCACTTGGCCAGGCCATTGTCTCTCCCCAGCCCTGCCAGCTTGGCTGATACTTGCCTGAGGGTGCCAAGAAAGCACCACAATGACTGATGACAGCTTCAAACAGGTTAGCAACAATAACCCTAATCACTAAAGGATTAATATGCATAATTTCCTACTGCTCCCCTGTCCCAAGACTCACCATCTAACAACAGATTTTCTGTTAAAAAAAACAAAATGCATTGGGAAGCGTGTGTATCAGCAGCGATGGTACCTTTCTTTACCTATGGAACCTGGCATCTTTAAGGCAGTAACTTGGCAAGCATCCCTCAGTCCCTTCTGGCCTGACATTAAAAGCAAAAGGCACTTCAATTTAAGGACCATGTTCCTGTGCAATAGCAGCCATATTTCTTTAAGGCACTTTCTAATAAACAGCATGCTAGTGGCTGCTGTGGATCACTGCCAGATTGGACCTCAGTGGATTTGCTCTTGCATTTTCTTGCTGAAGGCTTTATTTATTTATATTGCGATTTGTATCCTGCCTTTTTCCTACAAAGGGCTCAAGGCAGCTTACATCATTCTCCTCCTCCATCTTATCCTTCACAACCCTGTGAGGTAGGTTGGGCTGAGAGTCTGTGACTGGCCCAAAGTCACCCAGTTGGCTCCATGGCTGAGCGGGGACTAGAGCCCAGATCGCCTGAGTCCCAGTCCCAGGCTCTTAACCACTACGCCACACTGGCTCTCCAGACACATGTTGGTTTGGAATTCTTGTAGATGAATCCTTGTTGAAGTGTTTCCCTTCTTTTAAGTGGCCATAGTAATGGATAAATACAGTGAAAGCCAGACTTGTAATAGGTTTACAGTCGTTCCCAGCCCAGCTGTCCCTGTGTATCTATGCAGTTTGTGGTGTATAAATACGAAAGTAAATCTGAGTGTGCATGGGGGAACATTAAGGGTCACCCATGTCCCCTGATCCACACACAAAGCTAACCCATTGAGAACTGGAGCATCTCAATAGCCACAGGACATTGAGAGCAGAAAGAGAGGAAACAGGGTAGGGGTTGGAATAGGATATCAGATCCTGGAATGGCTCCCTGGCTAGAATCTGGAAAGGGAGAACATTCTCCTACCAGCCCCTTTCCTTTCTCCTAGGATCCACTTCTCACCTCCCTCTGACAATTCCTTATGCAACACATTTCAGCCTCAATGCTACGGCACACAAGCCGGGTTTATCTGCAAGAAGGAAAATGTAAAAACAAGTGTGCAAACTGACATAAAATGACAATCAAGTTTATCATCTATGAACCGGAAGTTCCAGGTCCAAATTTCAGTCACTGAAATAAGGGAAGAGGTATGTAAGATGCGGTCTCAGCACTCTAATTCTACAGTCCCTAAATAAGAATAGTAATATCTTTGTTCAAAGGCTTAAACAAGATTACTATAATAGTGTGCACAAGGCTTTAAGAAGCTGGAAAATTATAAAAAACATTATTTCACTCAAATTTTGATGGATTCTTAGATTCTTTTGCCACCAAATTAAGTTGATGCTGCCTGAAAATGACTAGCTAGTTAGCCAGCCTAGTAGCGATGCTAGATCAGACCAATGGATGGACTAGATCACGCTACATGGACTCTAGTCCATTCTCATGGTGGCAACCCAGCTCCCCACAGGCTCCTTCAACAGGGCGAGCACAAGTTTTGCCTGCCCGAGCCCCTCACAGGCTTGCTACCGCTGATCATGGAGGTACCAGCACAGCACCAGCTCCTGTTGCAAGAGGACCTCTCTCCCAACCCACCCGTCTACCAAGCCCATTTAGGTAAATATTGCTTACCCTAGAAGATTGGCAACACCAGCTTGTGTGTCTGAATACAAATTGCCCCAACACAAGAGGTGCTTATATTCCAGTGTCATGAACACACCCCTTTTTATGGGGTGCAAGGCTAGCTTTGATCTTGTCCAGACCTGAACAGAAAACAAGAAGTTTTACCTGCATCATGAAGCGGCACACCCAGCCAAATGTCTCAGAGAGCTGGTACCTCCCTCCATACTCCTGCCGTACATCTTGCTGATCTCCACTGATGACTTCCATAATGTGTTGTGGTGGATGGGTTAGATTCTTGCCCTAGCCTGATTTCTTCCTTATTTCTCCTAGAAGCTGCTCTGATGATGCGTTTCAAGGATAACTCCTTCCATTTCTTAATCTTGTGGGTTCCACCCTTAGGCGGCACAGAAGGAATTTTAGATTTAGAAAGGCTGGGTGCTGCAACCAGAGGTGTGGAAGAACAGGTTGAATCAGTCACACCGCTCTGCAACTCAGTTCATGTGCCTTCCCATGTTGCAACACATCCAGCTGGTTCAGCTTCACACCCTGAGAGGCAGCTCCATCACCCAAAACTAACAGGAAATGTTTCATCCACATCCCTACGAGGAGTGGGAGTGATCACAACAGCTCAGGTGTGCACATTATTGGCTGCTATCTATTTTGTGGCATGCAGACTTTATGGTCAAGGACTGTTTTTACACGCAGCCCTAAAAGCCATGTAATATTTGCATTTTAAAAAGTACCATAAAATAAACTGTGCACAAATGATAAAAAGTAGCATTTATGAAAGTTTGTTTTGTTGTTGCTCAAACCAGAGCTGCATGCTTTAGCGGGTTGTGGGATGCCATGGGACACAATTTTGGCCCCAGTTCTGTTCAACCTCTATATGGAGCCATTGGGACAGGTCAGTAGATTATAGGCAGGGTTTCATCAATATGCTGACAACACCCTATTTCTTTGTAACATGTCAGGAAAGGCCATGACATTCTGGATCAGTGTCTGGATACAACAGTGGTTCGGAGGAAAGCCAGTAAGCCAAGGCTGCATCTTGATAAAGGACCTTAGAAGTTGCTGCCTTCCAGGTCCATGAAATGGCTTGTTTACCCGTTCTGGATGGAGCTGCACACCCTCTGAAGAACAGGTCCAAAGTTTGTGGATATTCCTGGATCCATCTTTGTCACTGGATCTTTGTCAGGTGATCAACAACTTGGGAGCACCAGCTGCCAACATCGGTTAGTGTCAATTGCAGCCATTCCAGAGCAGCAAAGCCTCGAAAGAGGTTCATACACTAGTAACCTCAAACTGGATTACATTAAGGTGTCCTGTGGGGCAGTGCCCTTTGGCCAAGTGCAGAAGGCAATAGCTGGTGTATTTGGCGGGGCAGGGGCTATACAAGCTGCCCATTAACCATCAAGCCAGGCAGGTTTTGTTGCTGACAAAACTCAAGGCCAGGAGATCTAGACAACTGCCAGTGTATCCCCAGAGTTTCTGCTAGCAGAACCAGCCGTAATGTGGCTCAAGGCAACAGTATGCAGCCAGTTCTTAATGCCTTTGGAAAGCATGCATGCTTCACCAGTTTACCCTGGCTAACAAATGGAAACTGGCATTATCTGTTAAGTTATATGACAGATGTATTTCACTAGTGGTTGTATATAAACTAGAAGTCTATGTAGGTTCTAGTCCCCACACAGCCCTGAAACTCACTGGGTGACTTAGGGCCAGTCACTGATTCTCAGCCTAATCTACCCCATAAGGTTGTTGTGAGGATGTAATGGAGTGAATCATTTAAGCCACCTGGGCTTCCTGCAGAAAAAAGAGGGACTATAAATGGAATAAACACATTTGTGACTGTATTAAAATATATTCTGTGTAGATATACAAATACTGCAAATTATACAAATTTTAATAATGCAACTACAGATGAGGAGTCATTTTCTTCTTATAAAAATTTATTTAATCCCAGAACGGTCTTCGTAGATACTGGAGTCCAAAAATGGACGAGGCACTGCATTATGTGGATGCACAGATGTGCATGGGAGGCAGTAACAAAGCAAAACACACACACAAATTCACAAGTACAAAATCAAACCCTGAACTGGCATATAAATACTCTGTAGCTACATTGTCAGAGGCAGTAGACTCGGAAATGAAAACTGGCACTTCCCTATGTTGGGTGCGTGTCCTTGCTGCCCACCCAACCCTCTCCTGGCAAGCACTCTGCCCCAGCTGCCACTTGTGGGAATATGTCTTAATGAGGACAGGCAATACCAGAAAGCTGATGTTAAGCAGACGGGGATTTTAAGACTGCTCAACCCACCAGGCTCTCCGCTTGGTGCGGGCGTCAGGACCCACAAATGCACCCACCGGGTGACCCTTGGGGAATGCATGCTTTACCCAGTAGCATCAGGGAGAGCCGGATTTCTGATGAGGCGCTCTTCCCGATGCCACTCTTGAGCCTCAGAAAATGGCTCAGGAAGTTGTCTTATTTCCAAGTCCCTCTGGAGCCAGGCAGAGCCGAGATAGCACTCCCCTTTCCAGCTCAAGTACTGGGTGTTCTCCCCACTGGCTTTTTAACAGAGTGCAACATCAAGCAAGACTCTCCTACTCCAGGGTAGGCAGCCTTGTGGCCGGTAAACAGGCTGGCCAAAAGCTGTGGACTCCTGCATAGGTGGCCTAACTTAAAGCCTGCCTGAACAGTGGCTCTGCACTGCATTTCACCACTGTTGAAAGTAACTGTCCATGGAGCTACCAGGAAGTTGTGGGGCTTCTCCTCCTCTAAATGGCAGAAAGGAGCACTGCGACAGAAGAAGCAGGCCTGAGCAACAGATGTGCTGACCTCCCCACCCAGCTTGGAAGGCCCCAAGAATCTTTAGAAGTACAACCCAAAGTACCCTAACCCCCTTTCTAGGGCAGATTCACAAATCTGAAAAGGCTGTTACTGCCCTGCAAAGCTCAGTTTTCCATTAAAAGAGCAGGACTGGCCCGCCGCTCTCACATGACTCAAGGGCTCCAGGCCATGGGCTCCTATCGTCCTATGAACTTCTAAAGCACACACAAAAGAAGTTGGGTGGTGCTGGAAGACTATCAGGAGATGAAAGAAACTCCTATATTCAGCTTCAAAGAAAAAAAAATATATCTGCATCGCAAAGCCTGCACTAACTAAACATGACCTGCGCTTCCAAAACTGATTTGCAGTCAAAGGGGTGGAGGGGACAATCTGGAACATTCACAAGTGGTGGCTGAATTCAGCTTCAAGCTCTCCCAGGATGAGGAGCAAGGAACAGGGGCAGGGCTTCCAGAGACAGTTCAAAAGCAGAAACGGGGGATTCTTCAAACTGTTGCTAGCCATAAAATCAGACTATTAAAGTAGCACTTAATAAACTTCCAGAAGCTTTTGAGTGCATCCAGCCCTAGCTGTAGCTTACAAGCAACTGAGGTTCTGAAGCTTGGAGCCGAGGACTTTTTATTTTCAAGAAGTTCAATCAAATAAGATCTTGTACTTATAGATTGACTTTCCCATTGTGTGCGCACTTTTTCATGAGCTTGGGCCCTCAACCTAAAAAGCAGAACGAGAGGGGGAAAGAGAGAGAGAGAAAGCAGATCAGGCACTGGAAACTGGGTTCAAACTTGGAATGGCTGGACAGGAATGGAAACTTGGGGTGAGGAGGTGAGATGTTATGGTATCCATATTACTTCCTGGCTGGACTGAAGAGAACATTTCTACATCCAAAAGTGTGGCAGCAGATAGACTCTTGGTATTAACAGAGGAGGGAATGGCACAGGCTCCCAAAGGAACGTCACGCTAAATAAATAAGAACGAATGCGGCCCATGCAGAGACATTGCCAGAGCCGTGGTGCATTAAAAGGTTCGTCCAGTCCCGCTACCTCCCGTGGAGGAGGTCCTGTGGAGGGTCAATGCCGATCAAGGTGCGCACAGCAGCAAGCCTGCACAGAAGCCTTTCGACACTGCTTGCCTGGCGCCAGTCTTCTGCCCCTTATGCCTGGGGCAGCCAGAGTCTTTGTGTAAACAGAACAGTGCCCATTGGTCTCGACTGTTGCGTGTAGGGGCCACGTGTCAGCCCCATTGTCTAACTGGGTGGACAGGGCGACTGCCACACATCACCCCAGTGATAACATCTCTGCCAGGGCAGCCGCTCAGCGAATCAGCAGGAATAAGTGGTAGGGTTACACCAGCCTGTTCTCATGGGAGAAACCAAGATGCAACTGTCCCCTCCATGACAGGGCATCTCCAGCACTGTCCGGTGGCCGCTACAGTCACAGGCTGGTGCTGGCTTTAGGGACTGTGGGCTGCTGCACTTTACGGCCACTCTGCTCCAGGAAAGCCAGAAGCCAGGGGTGGGCCAGGATCTGCTCCAAGGAAGGTCGCTTCTCCGGGGCCAGCGAAAGGCACCACTCGATCAAGTGACGGCAGTCTGTCAAGGAAGGAGGCAGCCGTTAGTGCTGTGCCAGCTAGCAGATCAAGTGCCTTCTCTTCTTTAAAGCGCAGAGAAGCAGGCCACAACTATCCCTATTTCAGAGACAGGGAACTGAGGTTGGAGGATAATTACCTTGCCCAAGGTGACTCAGGACTGTGTTATATTAGAGCCAGTCTGTGAGTTAATGCTCAACCCAGTTGAAAAAAATCAAGGAGAGTCATTCACACCGAGAACAATTCATCTACTTAAGAGGGAGGCTGGCCCATCGAAAGGGCAACAGACTGTCACTAACTCTTCTTAAGTCCCAATCACTGTGACATCCCAGGGCTAACTGACAAATTAGAAGTAGGTCAATCACTGAGTCTGGATGACATACACAAAACTCCTTAAAGGATTAAGCAATGCGTACTGCGTATCTCCTAGCAATATGCAGTTTGCCATGTAAACATATTTAACAGAACACTGAAATTTTAAAAAGAAAGCCAGGAAATTAAAGATTGGAGAATTCACGCAGAGTACTGCCATCTATGGCAATAAGTAATATTGCTTGGGAAATGGGCCTACATAAAATAAGGACACAACCTGTCTGGCTAGGTGAACTGGATGTGTTTATCCTGGTGTTTTATCTCCCTGTTGGTTATATTATTTTGCCATATGTAAAACTGCACACGCTTTTGTAATACCAATAGTAGAACTTCTTCCTAGTCATAATTTTCTTAGAAAAATGTTAAAACTTCATTATTTGAAACTGTGATTACCCATCCATCTAATAACTAAACCCCTCCATTCTGCAAACATCACCACCTAATGCAGATACTGGAGACCTGAAGAGTTTTAAAGACAGGCACGGTGGAGGCATCTGAGGGCAGGGGGAATATTTCCACCTGGTGGCAACAGAGAAGGATGGGGACACACTACTCTGCCCTTCTTCCCTTAACCACATGGATTGTGTTAGCAGTCAGCAGTGTGCATGCGGCAATATTCGTCAGTCATGCTGGGGGCCGCAATGCCAGCCTTCTGCGTCCTGGTGCCCTTCAATTCCTGCTGAAGGGAGTTGAAGACCAACAAATCTGGAGCGCACCGGAAAGCTGCTGTATACAGAGGGGCCAGAAAATCTTGCCCAGATATTCCTCTTGCGGTTACACCTCTAGAAAATATCACATAGAGAAGGAACTTGGAGAGGTGTGTGAAAGCACTGAGGCACCGGGACTGGAGTCTGAATCTCCCCAGTCTCTGGCACATGTTCCACAGCCTAACCTTGCCTGCCTGTGGCCAACAGCTGAACTTTTACCTGAGGATACTGTGCAGTGGTAGTGGAGCTTCCCAAGGAGGATCTCCTCATCGCTTTCAAAAGGGATGTCCCCACACACCATATCATAGAGCAGCACTCCCAGTGACCACACCGTGGCCGGCAAGCCATGGTAGCAGTGATATTTTATCCATTCAGGGGGGCTGTACACCCGCGTGCCTGCAGGGACAGAAAAGAAAAGGTGAGGCCAAGCCTGGAGTCTCCACGGGATCTATCTATCTATCTATCTATCTATCTATCTATCTATCTATCTATCTATCTAAAGTTTTCCCTATACCATCCTCATTACCAAAAGTCTCAGAATGGTCTTACAATAAAACAAAGTAAAACAGTAAACTAAACGGCTACAGCCAAAGTCTTCACTGTCCTTGTGAGGCAAAGGGTGGTCCTACCCAGACAGCAAAAGTTAGACAGAACAGTATATTCAGACGGTTAGTAGATGCAAGGGATGGCCACAGGTATATCAGTTTTCCCCAGCCACAAAATGAGATTCTATCTGCATGCCTACTGCAATCTTCAGTGAACATCATTAAGGCTCCTCTATGCAAAAGGAAAAATTCCCTCTCAAGTAATCATGTTGATCAAACAGAATTCACCATGTGAGCCTTCATCTACAGTCTAAGTCACATCCAACGTCAGTCCTGCAGAGCAGACCCGCAGCAATGAAAGGAACTAGCTATATTCTAATATTGATTACAATGCTGAAGTTGCCCAGTCCAGGCCAGTGACTTAGGATACATACACCAAAGTGCACTCCAATCCCATCTCCTCATTCTGTGTATACACAGCTCAACCAACAGTTACCAATGACCAACTGGAATTTCTCCTCCACACACATATTGACAATATTTGTAAGCTTGGAGGATGAAAAGGGGCAACTGCTCCACATTACTGCGGTCAAGCACGTCAAAGCAGGAATGGAGCTGCTGTCAGAAGACTTATCTAGCAATCTGATCTTGTTTAGATGACAAGAAATGACAGTTCTTAACTGAAAAGAAACAGGTCAGTGTAAGAAAAAGAAGACTGCTTAGGCCTTCAAACTACTTTCAAAGGAGGAGATCCAATGAACAGCATAAAGGCTCTTTCATCAACTTGTGGGTTAGTCAAATTCGTATAGTGGAGACACAAAATTGGGCTCACACAACAAACCTCTCCATGTGTTCAATTAACATGCATAAGGCCTCTCAGGAGCACCTGAAGTAACCCCACACCTTCCCTTATCCCTACTAGCTACCATCTATAAGATGTTCAAAGAAAGAGCTCTCTGCACATATCACTATACTCAGGGTGGAAGTTTGCGTCTAGGAGCTCTCCTTGTGCACATACACAGAATTCTTCTCCACTGGAATCTGCCGGATGCTCCTCAGAGGAGGTGATGCACAGTGTCAAAGGTCCCCAACACAGCCCTGAAAGCCCTTCAGCCCATTCCTTGAATGGGCAGAGAGCTTCCTGTGAACTTTCCAACAGGGACTCATTTTAGCTGCAGCCTGGGCTTTGCACTCCTGGCAGGCCCAGAAAAGGCCTATATAGAAGGCTTCACACCCGTCCGAATCAGCCTTGTCTACTTCCATAAGGAAGCTGCCTTGCAACCTGAAGGCCTTGACAGCAGAATCATTTCTCTGTTTGGGGTGGTTAGTGCATTTTAAGCCAAGCTTGTGACGGTTGTCTTGCATTAGGGTCCTGCTTTCCTCAGATGAGCCACAGCTCAGTGGCGGAGTGCCTGTTTTACATACAGAAGCCCCCAGGTTCAATCCTTGGTTTCTCCTGGAAACAGAGAAAAAAAACTTCTGCCTGAAACTCACAAAGAGCCATTGCCAGCCAGTGCCAACAGCACTGGACTACATGGGCCAATGGTCTGACTCAATACATGCGAGCTTGCTTCGTTCAGAGACTGTGGCTGTGTTTTCTTCCCATATCCTGCTCACTTCCAGGGGAAAGCTGCCTAGACCAAGTCAGGTCCCCTTAGTCACTCTACCGCAGTTTTGTCTGCACTGATGAGCAGCACCTCCCCTGGGTTTTAGCCCAGGGTCTTTCCTGAAGTCACACTGAGAGTTGTTCCCTCCCTCTCCATCACACACAGCATGCTCACCATCAAAATCTGTGTATGGAGAATCCCGAAGCAATGCACCTGAGCCAAAGTCTATGAGCTTAAGGTCACCTTGCAGGAGATCTACCAAGATGTTTTCATCCTTTATGTCCCGGTGCAAGACACCGCACAAGTGGCAATGGCGCACTGCCTCTACCACCTGCCGGAAGTAACTGGCAGCCAAGCTCTCCGGGAGCGGACCCCGGTCTGTGATGACATCGAACAGGTCCTGAGACACAAGGGGGCGCTCCATAACGATGAAGTACGAGTCGGGCTGCTCAAACCAATCCAGGAGGTGGACGACACCTCGACAACCTGGGGAGGACACCTTCTTCAGCAAAACGACTTCCAAAGGAACAAGGGTACCATTCTGGAGACAAAACAGAGCTAGGTTGGTTCGGTGCTTGGCACTGCCTGCAGCCCAAGCAGTAGAGGAGTCATTGCAATAGTCGAAGGGAAGGATCATCTGCAGAACTCACCAAGTGCTGGAATTGCAAGACACGCTCCTTGGAAACATATTTAATGGCCACCTGAAAAGATAATACAAGTATAACGTCAAGAAGCAACATGCACTACCACAGTCATCAACCCTTTTAGACCTGAAGCTAGCTTTGTAGCAACGCTGTAGTCAGACCTGACCCAGCAGGTGAAGTTCAGTGGGAACTCCAAGCCCAAGTCCCTTTGTGGTGTAGTGGTAAATTGTGGAATGCATCACCATCACCACCACCACCATCAAATTTCATTTATATCCCACCTTTCTTCTTCTCACAAAAGATCCATGGTGCCTTACAAAGTTATTTCTATTTTTATCTTCATCCATCCTGTGAGGTAGGATAGGCTGAGAGGCAGCAACTGGCCCAAAGTCACTGAGTGGTTTCCTGAATGGAGCGTTGAACCCAGATGCCTGGAGTCCCACTCCAACACTCTGAACCCTACGGCCATGTCCCCAAGGATACTCCAAAAATGATGCACCTATGTCGATCCAGATAAACAAATCAATACTAGCAGTTTTCATCTCCAGCAGGAGCCACTGTTTTGCAAAATTAATGGGTCTGAATTGCCCATTCAAGATCAGGCCACCACAAACACTATTCACCAAAACAGAGGAATTTATTTTACCCAGCTACTGTGCTATTGTAGAGGAAACTGAAGTTGGTGGTGGGGGAGAAGAGAATGGTGTTAGCATCCCTGCTACGAACGAGCCCTGAAAGCCCTGGCACCACTGCATTTTTTGTCTATCTAAATGGGGGAAGAAGAGAAGTTGGCTTCTGCAAACAACCAAACTCTTCCAAAGCTTGATAAAGCTTTGTCTTTAAGAAATATGTCAAAAGAATATTGAAAGGATAGTCATTTAGTATCAGAGAACGGTTCATCTAATTCAATGTTGTAGATTTTTTAAATATAGAACCAGCAAAAGCTGATTGTTTTCAAAAAGGCAAAAAGATATTATGTGAACTGTATTGAATACACTCAATAATGTTAGGAGTGCCCTGTGGTATGTTCTGATCTAATTTTTCCCATGGATTATGGGAGTTCTTTATCAAGTCTTATCGAATACCCAGTTAAAAGAGCATTAGTTCTCCTGATATCTGAGCAGATGCCATCTTGGGTTTGACATGACTTTCACTGAAATATTCCTTACAATTTAAGATCCTGCAAAAAGAGGGTTACTGGCGATTTATTATTACAAAAGGAATGTCTCCTCACTGGAAAAATCTACTTAACCCAGCCCCCAAGAAAAACAAAAGTTTAAATTTTCTCTTATCCGCTTGAGAGAAAAATGTTTTAACTAGTGGCTTCTTTTGGATTTACAGCTGCAAAAATGCACCAAAAATGATTCAATGTGCATGAAGTTGGTTGATAAATATATTTTTTTTAAAGACAACTGACAGTCCCTAATCTAGAACTCTTAACGGGGCATGTTCTGCCCTTTGAAAAAGGAGTCAGTTTAAAGACCGTACAAACGGAATTTGACTCTTTTGAAAAGAAAGCCATCAGAACCTGTTACAGAGCTCACCTTAAAATTTCTGACATATTCAAAGGATGTGCTATCAAAGCAGTGTTCTATCCTCCACAACGACAGCCAACATGGATGCTCAACTCTGCAGTGTCCGCACAGGACAAATCTGTGGGCGAGATGGGCTGCTACACCTCCTCATCCTCTGCTTTCGCAATTTAAAGTTTTGTCCACAATGGGCGTAGTAATTTAAGCATCTGCCAGCCATTAGCAACAAATGAACATGCATCATTTTGTAACCAACTATTTCTACTCAAATACAAAAATGGAACATGAAAGACAAGCCACAGCATAAAAAAGGGTGGAGAGCAACCGCATCCTATAAATATATTATACAGCAACTTAACATGCCCAATGTAGACACTATATACACTATTAAAAAAGTTTGATCCTCATCAAAGAGTGAATTCTGCTAGGTGTATTTTTCTAACTAAGAGAAGCCAGCACGTATTTCTCAAGAACAGGTCTTGCCTGACTAATCTGATCTCTCTCTCTTTTTTAATAAGGTAGGCTTCTTTGTGGACTGTGGGAATGCTGTACACTTAATACATCTTGATTTCAGCAAAGCTTTTGACAAAGTATCCTGTGACATTCTGATCAGAAAATTGGCTAAAAGTGCTCCAGATGGAACAACTATTAGGTAGCTCTTCAATTGGCTACAGATTGAGAAGAGGGAACAGTGCTCCTCAACATTTTTATTAAGGACTTGGACAAAGTAGTAGAAGGAATGCTTATCAGATTTGCAGAAGACACAAAACTGGGTGGAATAGGTAATACCCTGGAAGACAGAAACAACATTCAAAGTGATCTTGATAGGCTGGAGCACTGGACTGAAAGCAATTGAATGAAATTCAGTATGAAAAGTTCTGCACCTAGGAAGAGGAAACCAAAGGCATAATTAGAATGTGGGAGATACCTGGCTCAATACTGCCAGTAAGAGAAAAGGCATTTGATAATGTGTCTTGGTCCTTTCTGTAAACAAAGATTTATGAACTGGATACAAACAATTCATACAAAGCAACACAAAAAGACTTAAATAAATGGAGTACTAACCAATAGTTTTCCGATGGAAAAAAACCACATCAAGGATGCTCATTATCACCACTTTTATTTATCTTTATTTTGGAAGTTTTAGGTAAAAAAGACCCAAAAATAAAAGGCCTGAATGTAAATGGAGAATATAAAATGAAAAATTATGTCAATGATATAGTGTTGATGATCTTAAATCCATACAGTATATAATAGATTGAAAAATTTGGATATTTCTCTGGCTATAAAATCAGTAAGAAGAAAACAAAAATATTAAAATTAGATTATAAATCCTAATTAAAGATTAGTGAAATTGAAAACAGATTTGGAAGGAGTACATAATTATCTGTGGAGTAAGGAACCAATCAAAAAAGCTTTAACATAAAACATTTGCCATGCACTTAGAGATGGTTTAATAAGAACTTAGTATTCTATAAGAAGGAGAATTAAACCTCCAATTTCTCCTCTGATGTCTCTAATAGATGCATATTATGAGAAGCATGTAAGGAAAGCCAATGACGCTTTATAATATATGGAAATATGATCAATCAACCAGGAGAAATCAAGCCTTGGCAAAAACTAAAAGCTGAAGGAAAAGATAGAATGGCTTCTTTACTATGAATTGAATTCAAGATTGAAAAGGGAAATTCATAAAGGAAAAGGTAGCATACGAGACCTGGCATAATTTAAAAATTTGATTACACAGCAAAAAGATCACCTATTGGGATGAATTTATAAGCAATTTATAAGCAATATAGCACTGAAACGGAACAAATTAAAATATATAAGTTGGAGGCAAATTTTGAGAAACATATTTTGGCCAATGGGAGACTTTGTGGATGATTTAATATTCACAGCTAGTCATTCACTAAGATAACATTGGCACAAGATGTTTTTTCATTGGTATATTACACCAAAAGTCATTGAGAAAATGGATAAGAATTATGATGGAAAGTGCCAGAAATGTAAGGAAATGCATGGACTTTTACCCTATTTGGTGGACATGTAAGAAAGTTTAAATTTTTGAAAGAAATACAAGCAGCAATACATAAAAATTTGAAAACTAACTTTCATATAAACATTAAGAATATGCTACTGGGTATTATACCAGACACTGTGCCAAGGAATATGGTAGAATAATTTAAATATGATAACAGCAGCTAGAGTTATAATAGCATCAAAATGGAAAGCAGAAGACACCCAAGTAAAGAAGATTGGAAAAATAAACTAGCTGAATATGCAGTAATGGCAAAACTATTTACATAAACAGCAGACCGACTGAAGAGTTTAATGATAAATTGAAAGCTAATTATATACAATTTACTAAACAGAGCTTGTAAAAATGCCATTAGTGAGCTATAATTTTCATAGATGCTTTATTGTTATTTAAAATCATTTTAAAAGGAATAGAAAATAAGTCAGTATTAAGAATGAGTCAATAGTGTGATGCACGAGTAGCTGCAAATAAAGCAAATGCCATATTGGGCTACATTAATAGAAATATAGCTTCCAGATCACGCATGGTACTGGTTCCCCCTATTCGGCACTAGGTAGGCCACATCTTGTGTATCCAATTCTGGACACCATACTTTAAGAATGATGCAGACAAACTGGAAAAGGTTCAGAGAAAAAAAGCAATGCAGATGATCAGGGGTCTGGAAACAATGTCTAATGGGAAGAGATGGAAAGAACTGGGCATGTTCAGGCTTGAAAAACTTTTTAAATACTTGAAAGGCTGTTACACAGAAGAGAACCAAGATCTCTGCTCTATCATTCCAAAGCCAAGGACATGGAGTAACTGAGGCAGTTGGATAGTCATCTTATCAGGGATGCTTTTCACTTGGAGTGAATGAAAAGTGGGTTGGTCAGGGAATTGGTCTTGATGGCTTTATAGCCTGTTCCACCTACTCTACTGTTCTATGATTAACTAGTCAGATCCCAGGAAACTCCGTCGATGAGCCATTCCAAGTGAAGAAGGCAAAAACTTCACAAGCTGCCCAGCACAGGAAGGAGTCTAAGGCATAATTTGTGAAGGATGCAGCACATCTCAAGGACTGGATTCAACCCTCCTGAGATTCTTAACCTGTCCTCTGGGGGCCCCTGTAGCCCCTCCCTCCAGTCAAACCCTGTGCCCTTGATAGCCCCTGCCCCCCCCCCCGCTTTTGCATGACAGTAAATGCTTTGAGCAAAAAAGAGCTGGAATGTTGGTCCCGCCCCCTTTGCCTTCAGCCCCACCCACCACTGGAATCCAGCCTCAGGAAGGTCTGTGCAATGGAATCCAGTCCTCCAGCTAAGAGGAATGCACCCCTGCGACACCGGCCATCCTAAACAAGACTCTTTAATAAACGGGGAGAAACATGAGGGCCAAGGGAAGACAACCACAGCTACAACTAAGATTGAAAGACAGTGTGTCTTATCCTCAGTAACTAATTTCTTTTTGGATTTAAAAAAGGAATGAAAGCACTGGGAAAACACAGGAGGCCTTAAAGCTTAAGTCTGGACCAGAAATCTTTATCTGGATGCATCCTAAGCAAATCCTATGGACTTTTTACCAAAAGAGTGACACGTGTCTCCCTGCAGCCACTCCCCCACAAGCCAAGTTCGTTCGTTTCTCTTTGAGGATGCATAAGAGCTTGCAAGCAGGGCGAGGTAAGCATAAGGCACAGAAACGCCCACCCTGCACCATTGTGCTAGAAGCCACCACTGCTCTCTCATGCTATACACGAGCCTTCCCTATCTTGGCACCCTCCGCTTGTCTTGGACTGCAAATCTCCTACCTGTTAGGCAGAATGATGGAAGCTGCAGTCCAACTGGAGGGCACTAGGGCAGGGAAAGCTGAAATTCCGTTTCTTCCCCCCATCCCAAGCTTCTAGGAATAATGTTAAAAGTCGCCGCTCGTTCACTCACAGGTTGGGAATCACTGAGCCGCGTCCCTGCGTAGACCGTGCCGAAGCCGCCGCTCCCGATCAACGCTCCCAGACGGTAGCGCGTCTCCAAGGTGGTCTTTCCTACGAGAGAGAGGGATAAAGCAGAGGGTCGGCGTGCTGTGTCGGAGCCAGTCTGCGCAAAGGCGCCTGCAAATCCCTCTTCCCCGCCCCTGCCCGCTACCTGGGCTCCCATTCACAAAGACACCCACACACCGCCCCACGTGCTGCGCGGGCGCGCCGCTTACCCACGTAGCAAGGCTCCTCTTGAGCGGCATCGGGCGCCAGCGGCCCTGCAGGAGCTGAGTGGTGAGCGGGACCCTTAGCCAACAGCATGGCCAGCCGGACAGCGAGCGGCCACGCCGAGCAGCCGGTTTAAAACCCTCCTCCTCCAGAGCCCCGCCCTGCCCTGCCCTCGCCTGGCCTCGCCAATATTGTGGCGGCCGCGTGCGCCTGGAAATTCCTTCTCTGTTACCAGGATTCCAACCCCACGCCGCCCCTGGCTAATGGGAAGGCGAGCCACAAGAAGCGGGGGAAAGGCTCGGCCAATCCGAGAGAAGGCAGGAGTTCGCTCGCCCGCCAGCAGGGCGGGGCTAAACCGCCTGGGGATGAAACAGTCAGCGAGCCTCAGCGGGCGGGGAAGAAATCGCATCAATGGGGGCGGCGATACTAGAATCTGCAACGAATGACAAGGGCAGCGGCGCGCGGCAGCAGCCAATCGAGGAAAGGCGCGCGATAACTTTGCCCTCCCCACTCCCGAAGCTTGTTTACCCACGTGTGATGCACCGGCAAGGCGGGTTTGCACTTTACAGGGAATCTGTTCTCAAACCGCACGATTTGTGCCTATGAGCTTATCTTCTATTGGAGCGCTTTTGTACCCGACATTAAAGCTCTCGATCTTTTCCAGAAAGGGGCTGAGTTGCAATAATTGACGGTTTAAAAGCAGCAGCCAACCGGCTTTGGTTTACAGAGGGTATTCCTTCCAGACCCTCAGGCGGGCGTGCTTAGGAGAGGCAGATTATCTAACAAGTCACTTGAGCTACGCAACAACTCCCAACGTTATTATTATCGTTATTGCAAATGCAGACTACAGATAGGCATCGTCTGAAGGAGTGTGCACCATCGCCAGGTTATCTTATCGCTCCGTTGAATCTCGAGAAGGACCGGCTCCCCCATCGCGGTGTTGGGACCCGCTGCTGTTACTAGATAGCCTATTCTGTTCTGTTTAATCTTTGTCTAGGAAGACTGTCAACATAGCCAACCCGAAAGAAGGTATTCATTGAAAGACAATGGCTCAATCATCCGATGGGACAGAGTATTACTTTGCAAACTGGGTGCGCTAAACACTTCGGTTTGGCTAACAGCAGCAAACGCTATTCTCCTAGGTTTGATCATTCTGATTTCCTAACGGCACAAAGTCAAAGAAAACTAAATTCCACCAGCAGCCATACTTAGGGGTGGGGGCACTATAGGTGTGCCTACATAATACCTTGAGTCGGCTGCAACTTAAGTTCTACTTAGGGTGGACTTAGTTATGTCTGAATTAAATTTCATTCATTTTAATAACTTAAATTCAGTTCTTTCGATGGGTCCACTCGAAGTAGAATAGTAGGATTTTACGCAGATATTGCACACCACCAAAGAGAAGTTTACCACCTCTCCAACGTTTCCCGTCACTCCTATGCTCATCATTTAAAATTCAGCCTTAGCCAGAGCTCAGTCTAAAGGCCAGACTTAGACCTTATTAGAGGTCTGCCCTAGTGCATAAAATAGCTCGGGAGGCCACACAAGCTCAGCCTCAGTCCCTTATCTTTAATGCGGGGGATCTGAACAAACCAGCCGGGGAAATGACTAATAACAACTGCGTTGATTAAATGAAGTGAGACTCTGGATTTCAAAGCCCTTTGCAGGCAAACCAGACGTCTCCAGATCAGCCTCCATCTAGACGCCAGATGACTACGTCATCTTTTCCATCTCTCTCGGCCGAGCCCGCTAACTTAAATTTCACTTTCCCGCAATGCAAGCTTTAGGAAACGATAAGCCGAGAGAGCCGTAAACTGCTTGCGTATCTCTGCCTTAAGCTCCCTTGGAATGCGAGAAATGCCCCTGAGTCGGGGAGCTCCGGCCATAAACGCTTTGATAATACGGCAGCGAAGATGCGGCGGGCTTGTTTGCTCAGCCCAGGAGAGAACTTCTTGCGCTCGGTGGGGGAGGCCGGCGTGGGCAGGACAGCGGTCTGCCACATCAGGTAGTCTTTTCCCCCGCCGCCGGGCAGGAGAACAGACGCCTTTGTTTGTTGTGTACTTTGTGGGTGCCAGGAAGGGGCGCGGAGGGGGGTAAAGAAGCCCCGTCACGTGAGAGCGCACCGCGGGGCCAAAGTTCTGGCCAGCTCTGCACCGTGGCAGGGATGCGGGCCATTTCAGAAGCATGTCAACGGGGGGGGGGGGGGGCGGCGAAGCAGTCGCAAGGGCTAGAGGGTGGCATGAATTGGGCGGAGAAACTTGTTTCCTTCCTCAGGTACAATTATTTAGCGGGGGAGAATAGTAATTGGCCGTAGCCACTAGTCCTGGGCATTTCAGTGGGTCTACTCCAAGTAGTCCTACTATTGGATCCAGCACCATTTCCTCCCGTGTGTGTGTTTGCAAAGAGCTGCCTGGGACGTGCTGAGAGTTGTAGGACTACTATTTAAGCAGGTACAGGATTGCACCTTAAATGTAGCCAACATTCTTGACTAACTTTACTGTGAAATCTTACACGTGTCTACTCAGCGGTAAGTCCTCCTGTGTTCAATGGGAGTTACTTCCCGAAAGTAGGTACAGTGATTGCAGTTTTACAGTGCGACTCAATGCATGTCATCTACCCAGAGAGACACTCCCTCCTGTTGAATGAGTCTTACTTCTAGGATCAAGTAGGCATAGGATTGCAACTTCATAACGTCCATAAAAAAGGAATTCCTCACACAGAAAACTCCATTTGCTGTAACCAAAAGACAAAACACATCTGTGCTGGGGGTGTCACATGGGCTGAAGCAAGAGTAGGTAGAGGACTGATCTCCAAACTTTTGGACTTCAACTCCCAGAAGCCCCTGCCAGTCTAGCTAGTGGTTGGAATCACTGGAAACTGAAATCCAAAATATAATATTTCCTCCCTTACGTTCTACTATAAACTTACTGGAGAGATTTTGGCAAAGCACTCATCCCTACAGCTCCTTTGAGTATAAGGACAGTGATACTGCTCTGCTTTATAGGTTTGTTCTGAGGATTACTGAGAAGGCAGAAATAAGGTGTGAGAGACAAATAGGGGTAAGAAGGATTTTTTTTTTTAAAAGAAATGTGGCACAGTTTAGGAACATCAGTTCCTAATGATTGGCAAGTACAAAAAATTCTGCCTAGTCCTCTCAGGAGACTGCTCATCCTTTTCACAGCTGTTGGCCACAAATGACTCCACACTGACTGTGGAAGCAGGAAGGGCTTTAAGGCCAAGTGCTAGGAGAATACACGGTCTCTTCCTTACTGCCCAGCCCAGTCACCTAACACCCAGTATTGACACCCACTTAAAAGCAATTCCAACCCTAATCTGAAGAAGGGGAAGCAGGCTGACGAAGAAAACTAGCAACAGCTAGTTTAAACACAGGTGCAAGACACTTTTGCAAAGTCAACAGCAGCTGGTCATGATATAGTAAGTAGAATTGGAAGGAGCCAATAACCCCTGATCAATGCAGAACTCCAAGGTAAAGCAGGGATAGGAACAATATTAAAATAGGGAAACATTAACCCTCCTGCAGCCATCTGGCTCTTCACCTGTCCTCCATGATTTCTCAAAGATAATAGACAGTGGTTCTGGAAGTTCTTCTGCCACTTCCCTTTATTATGACAAGATGCTGTCGACTGGGTACTAGTGGTTTGAATCTATTCAAAGCAAGGTGTTCCTTTGCCCATCAGTCTCAAGCTGCAACCCTGCCCCTTCTGCTTGCGTTCCACCTTTGCCATAGATTCTTTTCTGGAAGGAGATTTAGCTAAACTAGAAATTGAGCACTTCTTCCTTTTCTTTGTTATAATTTTGCTATCCTTATTGAGTAGTTGAACCATCATTTCTTTCCTCTCTTACAATGCGCATATCTAGAGATGTTGTTTTGCTACCTTTAGCATCACTTGCTAGCCTCAGCTCCTTCTCAGCTTTAGCCTTCCTGATCTCAGCCCTGCATTTCCATCCTATCTGCCTGTACACTTCCTTTGTAGCCTGGCCTTCCTTCCCTATCTGTGTCTTTTTTGTTTTCAGATACTCTTTTAAGCTTTCTGTGCATCCATTGACTTCTTTTGTTGTCCTCTACCTCTTTTTCTTGGTGGAATTGTTTTCCAATTGTACCTTTACGAATACAATTTAATTTTTTTAAAAAATGTCCACCCATTCTGAACCTTTTTTCTCATTAGTTATTTACCATGGGACCATACTTATCATTGTTCTGTTTTATTAAAATTGGCTTTCCAAAAATCTAGGGTATGTGTTTGGCTGCAGTCAACTTTTGCTTCCTTTAGAATCAAGAATTCAAATATGACAGGGCACTTTCCCCCAGAGTTCCTGTAACCACCACTTAACCGCTAGGTAATCCCTGTTTCTTAGCTCCCCCAGTTCTTTCCTCCACTTTCTGGAGGAGTTATCAGCCAGACAAGTCAGCAGTTTTTTGGCAGAATTGCCTTCCAACTGATATCAGGAAAATGTAAATCCCCCATTACTACTACATCATGCATCATCATTGGCAATTTGCTTTTGAAAAGTTGCATCCTCATCTTCTCTTTGACTGGATGGTCAGTAATAACCTCCATGTTCCATTTTTATTCCTTGCTCTATTTATTTTAAGCCTGCCGCTCTCGATTGGCTAGTGTTAGCTCATCCTGCTTTTTTCTGTGCAGAGATATGTATGTTTAACATATAGACTCCGCCTTCCTTTCTGTTCCTTCTGTTATTCTTGAACAAGTTATATCCTTCCATTGCTGAATTCCAGTCATGGGAGTCATCCCACCAAGTTTCAGTTACACCTATCAAGTCTTATTGCTGGAACTCTGCCGCCCTCCTTACACTTGGCAACCAGCAATGTGATGGAAATATCCCAGAGCTGGGTTTCTCAAACTTTGTCAAGACGAGAGCAGTGTCCCCTCCCCCAGTCAAGAAAAGAACCGCTCAAGCCTCTAGAAATGTACGACACACGGGCAAAGGCATGGTTTGCAATGTTTTCTCTGCAATGTTCTCTCTTTCCCTTAGCAAAAACATCAAAGGCAGTGGGCTTCCACGGGCTCCCGCTCGGATCTAAGCCATTTGGGGAGAAAAACAGAATGATAGAAGCAGCCCAGTCTTCCCGCATCCGCTCTGACATTTATCTGCCTCCTGCTACAGCTTCAGCAGTGTCATCGTGCCTCAGTAAAGGGCAGTTAGCTCCCATAAGCAAATATGCACAGGTTTAATATTCATTGCATCTCTCCCCCGCCCCCCATGGAACCTTGGGAACTGTAGTCCAAAAGTGGGTGAGAGAGTGCTAGGGAAACCTGTGTAAAATAATATAATAAAAATAAATCTTATCATCCTCCAGCAAACTACAACTCCCAAGATTCCGTGAGGAAAGTCATGCCAGCTGAACTGATAGAAAGCCAATATAAAGTGGTAGTCTTGACGAGATGTGTCCTCTACGGCTTCTCAGAAGCTTTGGACATCAGACAGGAAGCCCATGACCCAAAGGACAGCTGAGGGGCTCCAGGGTCGTGGGCAATAGTTCTGAAAAGACAAGTGAATGCCCAGCCTGCAGCACTATGAAGGGGGGGGTCAATATCTGACCCCAACCCTAAAACACAATTCTTCCTTTTCCAGCGGCCTCCCACACTGCACTTTCTGCAAAGCATAAACCATCTCCTTGCAGCCCGCTGATGCATCCATTTCCTTCCTCCACCTCTGATCCCCAGATCTCTCCCCAGAGTTAGGAACCTTTGAACCCAACTCTCAGCCCCAGCTGAGTCTCCGTCTTTCCTCCGGTGCCTCCTAGACACTTACCCTGAGTCGGCTCATCCTTGGGGAACCCCGGGCTAAGCATGCTGTGGTGGATCTTCGGAGGATAAAGCACCTGCACGGAGGACATCGCGGCCGCTTCGGCCCCAATTCGTAATCGCCCAGCAAGGAAAGTTCCGAAGCAGAATCAAAGCAGCAGAAACAGAACTCCCGCGACCCCGGAGCAGCAACCTGAATCCCAGGCAAGCCTCACGGGGTCGGGAAAGTGACACGGCCACGCCCACTATGACGGGCCACGCCCGGCGCTGCTCCAGGCTGGGCTGCGCCCTTTGCTGCTCCGTCCCCCGCTCCCCTCCCCGGTTCCCCGCGCTCCGCCCTCTTTGGCGTGTTTCCCCCTGTAGGTCGCTCTCCTCTTTGCAACATGAGACGGCTGCGCCCGAAGTTCAAATCAGTGAGTGACCTCTGTGCTAGTGGAAACGGATTTCTCCAAAAAGGAGCAGCGGCCAGTGCTAGCCTTTCAAAGCACTGGGAGCAGCCTGAGAGCAAGCCCTCTTTACGCTGATGTAACTTGCATTGTAAGGGTGTCTTGCTTATGAAAGGCAGCGTGTCATAATCTCACCGAGGATTAGCGATGTCTTTGAATGACACCTTGATGAAGGCGTGTAGGTCAGTCAGTCCTCTTTAACCTTGTGCCCTTCGGTTTGTTGGACTACAAATACCAGTATCCCCATCCAGCTACCTAAAGTCTCACAATACCCTGGTCCCTGTTGTGTCCTACTACATTTGTTTGTTTATATTTATATTCTCCCCCTCATTTCCTGTAAGGTGGTTCATAATCCTCTCTGTTTTCTCTTCACAACAACTCTGTATGGTAGCTTAGGCTGCGAGTTAGTGACTAGTCCAAAGTCACCTGGTGAGCTTCATGGCTGAATGGGGACTTAGAACCCTGATCTCCCAAGACCCTGTCCGACACTTTAACGCTTACTCTGTGCTGCTTGTGGAAGCAGTCTATTCCACTTTATTTCTTTATTTCATTTACATCCCACCTTTTTCCATTACAGAACTTGAGGTGACTTCCTGTTTCCATGTGGGCTCCCTTGCAAGTACTGGCCAAGTCCAGACCTACTTAGCGTCAGCATGGTGACTGCCTCCTATACCTTCAGTCCATATGCTGGGATCCCATATATGTTGATATGAATCTGGGATTTAGTTTAGCAGATATAAATACTGTACAGATCTGTGTTCTCTTGTGTATGTTACAGGCAAAGGGAAACCATATACTTGTGAAAGCTGTATTAGTGCCATTCCTTTATTACGTTCACCAAAAGGCCACAAAATTGTGTATTTTCTGCAATCTTCAGATCTATTCATTGGGTGAGTTGTTGAGAGAAAGCAGTTTGATACGGGTGGGGGAATAAGTGAGGGCAAACAATTGGAGTTAGTCTCCTATGGGGGGAGAGGACTCAATAGGCATTCAAATTAGGCTCTGCAGATCCTGTGGCAAGCCAGTGTGATGTAGAGGCTCAGAGTGCAGGTCTGAGGCTTAGGTGATCTGAGCTGCAGTCCCCACTCAGCCATGGAAGTCACTTGGTGACCCGTCACAGACTCTCAGCCCAGCCTACCTCACAGGGTTGTTGTGAGGGTGTATGACCAAAATTAAAATATTTATTTATTTATTTAGGATATTTGTATGCCGTCCTTTGCAAGAGCCTCAGGATGGCTTACACAAATAAAATACAGATAAGATTGAGGGAAGGGGAACTATGTAAGCTGCCTTGAGTTTCTTGGAAGGAAAAAAGGCAGGATAAAAATACAAATATGTGATGTTTGGGCCTGCAACTACCCTTAGGACGGTTAGGAACCAGAAGGGCAAAAATGTTGGATCTCCATTTTGGAAATATAAAATCTAGCTGTGATTCAGACATTTTTCCATTCTGGGCAAATACAATGGCCCATTTTGCCATTGGATAACTGTGAGAAACTAGACAGTGAGAAACTAGGTAAACTATATACATACACTTATATATTATTTATATGTTTACTTTTGGATGAACTGCTGCTTTGTCAGTCATCTACTAAGGGTGTTTTCACACGTGACTCTGAAATCACATTTTGCTTTACTTTGGTTTGTCCTATAAGGCTTTTGTTAGTTAGAACAAAAATAGCAATGGTTCTCGTGGCACCTTAAAGCCTAACACACACATTATGGCAATGTAAACATCCATAGTCTAGAGTCCATTTCATCAGATGCTTCTGGCAAAGTGCACTCCAGCCCACAAAAGCCATAACTAACATAAACACAGAGCTTTGGCTATTGGGCAGTATTAATGAAATAAACAAATTTGTTTGTTCATAAGCTGTCCCAAGACTGATATGGCTACCCTGCTGGAAATTAGTTAGAACTAATTCAGGCTCCATCTAGTTTGCAACATCAGAATGACTTTTAATTTTGCAATTCCATATATGTGACAGTCTTCCTTCTTTTTCTAAGAGTGATCAGATGGAAGAGAAGGGAGGGCTAGAACAGATACAGAATCAGTGAAGCTTATCTCAACTTGTTTAACATGCTGTAGCTGGCACGTGCCATAAATATTAATGGCAAAGGAGCACCAGCATCCTTCACAACAAATCTACTCATTTCTTTCTGATTCATTTTTGAAGAAAGGACCCAAACCAAACCAAACCAAGCTGACATGGATGTCACTGGAGCAATCTACTTTCCGTTTGGGTGCAATCCATTTTTGGGCCCTCCTAAACAACCACTCAAAAGGTAAACAGCTTATATTAGAGCATGTCTGCAAAGTGTGTTTTCATATGCAGTCAGCTCAGTTCAAATCAGCTTCACTTTCAGTTGACTTCTGCCAAATATAAATGCAAAATGTGCCTTAGGTTGACATGGGACATTGTTTTGCTAATCATCTCCATTGCCAACAGTATGAGAACTTCTTAAGGCTCATTTCCTGTGCTCGTTTAGAAAGAAAAGAAATACTGGCACATGCTGGGAGTTGTAGGCCTTTTTCCCCTAAACTTGCATAGGATGTTCCCTCAGTTACAGCTGTGATTATTAATGTTTGAAAGAACAGAAGCATTCTTCTCAATGCTGGTATTATAACAAACTGATAGAAAATATCCTACATATAATGATGTTGCTAATATTTCTTATTTATGATACATTAAGAACATTCATGCAAATACCTCAAGACAGTCAAATTCTCTTTTGTTGTCTTGCAAACAGCCTTCAGGTTAGGACAGCTGGATAACTTTGTATGTTAAATAATTTGAGAGAGCTTAATTTTTTAAGAAAAGAGGTACTGGCACACAGTTTTGCCCTAAAGGCAGATGCTTAGGATGGGGATGGAGAATATGTGGCCATCCAGATGATGATACAATCCAAGTACCATCAGATTTGTACCCCTTCTTTCAAAGCAAAACCCCTCCTAAGATGACTTACCAAAAAACAAAAAGAGCAATTATTTAAATGCAACTTAAAAACCATGTCCTTCTTTATTACTATTTATCAAGTGACAGTGCTGAATTCTAACACCTAAAATTACTTCCAGGTGCCATCATCCTTAGGAAATTTGCTTTAGTAGCAGGTTTTTTCCAAATACAAAGCATTTCTTTTGGCTGCTTGCCCTCATATTGGCCCTGTGAAGTAGGAAAAAGAGACATGCAACAGTTTGCACAAGAAATCAGAATTCACAGTGGCTGCTCTGCTGTGATGGAACTCCATTCTCTTGTTGCTCATCAAAGGTTATGATCTTATCCACATAGAATAACTATCATTTGAAAAACACAAGTTGGATTATAATGCACAAGTGGCCATGCTGCCTGCAGCCCTATTGCCTCTTTCACTTCACACAACCCACCATTTGTAGACTGTGCAGCGTAACATGAGAACCCAGACCCATGGTTAATCCATGGCTTGTTTTCAAGCACAGTCTTCTGGCTTGGGCCAGAAAACTGATGGGTTGTCATTATGTGTGAACAGCCCTGCCTGGCAACCTGGTGGAGCCACTGCAAATCTTTGCCACAAGAACTGACTTTGGTGTATAGAACTAAATTGTTCGGTTGTATATTGTTTCCCTTAGTTTTAACAGATTGATTTTTATAGCACTTAGCTAATTAATTTTACTAGACATGAGCCTCTGAAATGGATGGACTTCAAATGATACACATGCAGACACACAAAGGCTGTTCTGTGTTATACATATTTATAATTAAATGCAGAAAGTAAAAGGGCACTCCAACCCCAAGCCCTCAAAAATAGATGGTGAATACAATTTGGTTAATAATTAGCATTATGCATCAGCTGCTGATGTTACACTAGCCTAAGATTCTGTTTACTTGGCCCTAGCCGGAGCTTCTACTCATCCCATGGCAACAGCTCAGAGTAGCTAAGGTGGTGGCTTAGGGCAAACAGCCTCTTCTTTTTATTTATAGCAGCATACTAGGTTCTTAAGCAGGACTTGGTTGCTCCTGGGCCCACAACCTGCAGTGAGTATCCTCTGCATTATTTTCTCTGACTGCTTGCTTTCTCCTTAGTGGCATTAAACCATGACTGAAACTACCCCCAGGTGGATGCTTTGGAGCAACCATTCCCAGCCTGGTGTGCTCAGGTGTTGGACTCCAGTTCCCATTACTCCCAGTTCCCATTGCCCAGTGGCCCGGAATGTGAGAATAGCTTTCAAAACATCTGGAAGGCACAGCTTAGGAAGAGTTTCAAGAAAGAAGGCTCTAATGTATGATGATTTTAAAGATGATTAGGACTTGGAGGAATGACCACTTAGGATGCAATTCTATATACATTTAAACAGAAAAAAGTCCTGCAACTCGCAGTGTGCCCCATGGAGTTGCAGGGCTTTCTTCTTCCTAAACAAGCGCAGGACCGACCGTGCCCCTGATGGCCGGAACAGCACACCCAGGACCTGGGACTTAATGGCTTTCCCCTTTAGATGGCCCTGTGTATTTTTTCAGTGGTGAAAAACAGTTGCGACATTTCGCTTTCTCTCTTGAACTGCCATCTCATGCTTCAGAACTGCTTCTGATTCCTGGTACATTGGAACATCAACACTGTTTGCTGCCCCAAATGAAAACACATGCTCTGAGCACATGCACTTTGGCATTTTAAATGCACTTAGGTTCAACTAACCACTGGATTAAAATAGTTTACTTCTGCATCAACTCTCACTGGGTGGCTGTGTAGGAACTCCTGGACTGAGGTCCCAAAGCTCAGCCCAAGCAGCACCACTGTGAAGCAGCTAACAATGGAACATCCATATTCAAGAGCAGTTGTCCTAGGAGCCAGACTCAAGTATCAGCCATCTCTATCATGTCTTGCTTGAAGCATCCAAAGTGGCATTTTGCCAGCTGCCCAGGATGGTGTCCTGCACTGTAGGGGTAAGCAATCTTATGTCTTTCAGATGCTTTGGACTACAATTCCTATAATTCATCCCTGTGCATTGGCTGTACTGGCTGGGGCTGATAAGAGTTGAGGTTGAAACCCTCTGGCAGAAACCAGGTTGCAGAACCCTAGTGTGACTGGAGTGATGGACTTGGGTGGGAAAATCAGGGTGCAGCCCCAGTCGGTGGGATCCAGCCATGAAGCTCCCTGGGTGGTCTTGGGACGGTTGCAATTTCACAACTGAGTACAACCTCACAGGGTTGTGAAGTTAAAATGGTTGTGGGAGGGAGGGTTGTTTATGCTGCTTTGAGTCCTTAGTGGCAAGGCAGGGTATAAATACGATCGATATAAAAACACTCTTGAACTCTCTTTACTTGTGATGTGTTGATCTCTGTTCTTTTCAAAGGGACCCAGTGAGAGTTTATTGTGACATCACCTTGATGATGTGGGTTCAATGACTCCACAGAGTCAACAGTTGCTAAATATTTCTGGGGAAACTGTGTTACTGAGTTGAATTCCAAAGGGATGTATCCCTCCTGGTGTGCTTACTCTTTGACGAAGGAAATTGAGCCAATTGTGGCTCCAGAAAGTTTGTTTATGGGCTTGGAGTGCCTGGTTGTAGCTCAGGTATCCAGAAGGGTACAAGTAGAGAGCCAGTGTGGTGTAGTGGTTAAGAGCACGGGACTGGGACTCAGACAACCTGGGTTCTAGTCCCTGCTCAGCCATAGAGCCAACTGGGTGACTTTGGGCCAGTCACAGACTCTCAGCCCAACCTACCTCACAGCGTTGTTGTTGTGGGGATAAGATGGAGGAGGAGAATGATGTAAGCTGCCTTGAGCCCTTTGTAGGAAAAAGGCAGGATATAAATTGAAAAATAAATAATGTTCCCTTATGAAAGTTGCACAGAATGGGTGGGACAACTCCAGCCTTGGGGTGGGGGCTGAAAAAGCCATCCTGGGGAAAGAAGATCTGGCCACAGTGGTCCATGCCTCAATAACATCTCACTTGGATTACTGTAGCAGACTCTGCTTGAAAAGTGTTCAAATTACACCTAAATTTCTAAAGCACAGAGGTCAACAGACTGATTTTACAGAACATTTCACACCAGTTCAGCGTAATTTGCTCCCGATTTATTTCCAAGCCCAATTCAAGGAGCTGCATCTCTGAAGGATTCCTTCCTTCCCATATCAACTGGCCTGTAATTTATGATCATGATTACCAGCCCTGTTGATACACCCCTCATTAATCTAGATTGGCTAGTTTGATGAATGGCTTTTCGTGTATGTATGTATGTACAGAGAAACAAATACACATTCCAACACACACACACACACACACACACACACGTATATATGAAAATACAACTTTCTAAAAAGTTCTATATTAAATTCAGCAAAAGCAAGAAAATATTCATATATGCATCTATTCATGGCAATCCATTGCTTAGGCAAAATAGGACAGTAAATCATATCTAGTCACGGATAACAATTATTTATAAACATGGATTGTGGGTCATGTGATATATTTGATCAGCCTCTCTTAGTACCACCAATAGTGGAGGAGACTCAGACACTTCAACAGTGGCAGGACCAGACCTAGACTGCAAATGCCAGTCTTGCCATTCGGTGGTAACATGCATCTACTAACTAATCCAAGGTGAAATCGAATTGTTCCGTCAAGTCTGCCACAAAATATTTTCTCACCAATTCATTTATCTGGATTTCTCAGCAGAATCAATTTAGCATGGAAAAATGGATTGAATTATAACTAACATGATGTGATATTTCAGACATCTCTAAGTGCAGTAATTGTGAAAAGGTCCCAGTCCATGTTAGTATGCTGGTATCCTGTTGCCTGCATCCACCTGCAGGGATACTTCAGGCAGGAGAATTCCAGACGTGACCCAGGTAGAATATCTAAGCTAAATGGAAAAGGTGAAGCGTTAGTATACATCAACGAATAGCCCCAAATTATTGAAAGCATGACCTTGAAAGTCAAACCCACCCTTATTCGGAAGTTACATTTTTAAAGATATTTGCAGTAAGGTGGAAGTCCTCATGTCAAATCAGGTAATACATGCAATTAAGAAACAGAGCATTTAAGTTTTTAAAAACATTTACCTTCTTTTAATGGAACTACCCTGAATACTATATCATTCCCCTGAGGTTTTAATAGTTTTTAATGCTGCACTTTGATTTGAATTAATATTCTGGCTTGAGGTGTGTTTTGTTTTTGTTACTTTGATCATTCCCAAATATCTTTTATTGAACTGTGAGTTGTAACTGCACTTATCTGTTTCAAGTTTTATTTTATGCTGGTGTATCTTGTTTTTAAACTGTTTGCTGCTGTTGCTTTTCCATTATTTTATTGTGTTTTTAATGCTTCTGTTACTGTGCTGATTTTTATTATGTGTTTTACTATTGTACACTGCCTTGTAGAGGTACTCAAGAAATATTTTAAATAAAAGAAAACAATAATGTATTCATTTTATTCTCTTTATTGCTGCTGTTTTCCTGAATACCACCTCTAACATCCAGTAAACAAATAAATAATAAATAACATGATTCATTGATTTATTTTGAATTATTATTAGACCACTTTTAAAGGCGGTACCTCTCCATCGGAAAAGCCTTGAACCCTGTTTCCTGCAGTGGTCAACCAGGTCCAGTGACGGATGTTCAGAGGCATAGAGCTTCTGATCCTAAAGGGAGCAAACACAGAAACATTGGGACCAGAAGTGAATGACAGCCTTCTCCTCTATTAATTTATTGAACCCTATTTTAAAGCCTTCAGACAGAGTGATGTTATGGCACTAGACAGCATCTGAGGAGCTCCGGGATTTTTCAGACTCCCAGCTCCAAGGTCAGAGACTGCGTTCCAGCCTGGGAGCTGGGCACTGGCGCTTCATCCTCCCTTGCAGCCAGTGCAGAAACATCAGTGCTGACTATGGCTACCCTCTTAGGGTGGGAAAGCGGTCTCAGAGGAGGGTGCAAGGGAGTGAGGAGGGGAGGGGAAGGGAAGGGAGGAGACCAGGGCATGAGGTATGCAGACACCTCTCCAGCTTCCTTTCCTCCACCTCTGACATACTCCAGCTAGACTGGAGAGGAAGCCTGCTAGTGAAAAAGCAGAGCAAGAGGACGTGCAGATAAAGATTGCCCCTCCTGCTCCGGCTGTTTTGTACTAGGGGCCTGAGAGAAGAATGGTTTTAGATTATTGTTGCTTTCATTTTATGGGATCCTGTGATTTTAAAAGATATAAACCATCTTGGATGGGCTTTGAAAGTTGGGTGAGAAATCTTTTGAGTGAATAATACACACACACACACACACACACACACTTGGGTGAAATGGGCACCGGAACAACTGGGCAAAATATTGTAACTCACACTGTTGTTGTTTTTTTTAAAGACAGATGTTGGTTGTCATGGGTTTGTCCCTACCTAGAACCCTTGTCTCCAATCCTTTGTGTGTGCACTTAATGCGCTATGTTCAGAGGCATTCTTTTCTCAATACCTTATACTCCTGGATTTAACCATGGCAATGAAACTGGTTTCCGGGGATGAGCAATGGCTCAAATTAAGCCTTGTGCATACTCAAGATAATTTTATACAGATTAAGTACTATTACAGTGGCTTGGATATGAAAGTCCCTCTGCTGCTCATAGAAAGACCATTTCTGGTTTATTGGAAAAGCACCATGTGAGGAAAATCAGGCCATATCCAGAGATTTTCTCCCATTTATGCAACTTCCGATACAAGAATGTGTACAAGTTCTTTTCCAGACCCTTTTGGACACAGTGGAACAGTCTGCCCCAACCGGGGTGCCCAGCATCCCCAGTCAACAATGCTGGGAGTTCTAATCTAACACATTTGGAAGAGACCAGGATGAGGAAGGCTGCAGTAGAATGTAGAGCCTGTATTTTCTGGATTCGCTATGTTTCTCATACTGTAAATCACTGTGGAGTTGTATGCAAGAAATCTTCCACTGGCAATTGCGCAAGAATCCATGAAACAGGAAGCTAATTCTTTTCTCCTTTTGCCCTTGGCTCTTGGGATCCAAGCCACTATAATTAACTTTTCATATTAACCAGGAGAAAGACAAAAAGCATGCATATACCCGTGAGTCGAATGTAGTTCTAATCCATGCTGGCATTTATGGGTATGGAACCACAATTATGGCTCTTCCAAGTTCCAACTTAATTAAAGCAAGGGTATGGTACTTTTAGGCATACAAAGGACCAGCCACTGTCTCTCTCCACTGCATTTCTTTCTCTTTTGCTCCACCCCTGTCCTGCTCAGGGTGGTCATTTAGTTACAGAGGGCACCCCTCTATTTGAAGATATCCTCCTTTATTTGAAGAGCTGTCTGACCCAAGTCTGGATGAATAATAAGGAACCATAGGAAGGAAGAACAAGGGCCTTGAATTTGCCCGTCAACATTTAGCATTTCGCCTACCTATTTGTGTATTTTTATATTAACATACATAAATTTAGTGACATGGAAGTTCTCCTTTGTCCTTTCTACAGATGCTTGAAAAGCCAATGTAGTTGCCCTCTCTTATATTTTATTTTTATTTTTTTTTTGTAATTGTTTGGGGTAATTTTTCGCATGTCGTGAGCGGAGCCGGCTGGTGCCGGAGGTCAGACTAGATGGCCCGGGAGGACCCTTCTGACTCGCTCTGTTTCTATGTTTCACATATACTTTTTGAAACCAACAAATTTATCATAAATGCAGACAGTAACAAAAGTACCACAAAGGTCATATGCAAAACAAGCAGGAAATAAAACCTATGATGACAAAATGGCAGTGGCAGTCATGTCAATGCAGTGATGGATCAATGATAAATAAGGCATGGGATGGGATCACATTTGAAAGTGAGCAACAGAGCCAAGTTGCAAGGTTGGAAGCTAAAATGGTGTGTGTGTGTGTGTGTGTGTGTGTGTGTGTGTGTGTGTGTGTGTTATGCAAAAAGCTGCAAAAATACTTCTCCTGAAGTGAAATAACCAAGACTACCAACAGAGTGAGGCGATTCCTTCATTTATTGCAATAGACTGGGAGAACCTGCTCTATCAGAATCTCTCCAAAGTACAAACTCACAAAGCAGCTCCTTTTACTCCTCAGTCCATCTGCCACAATCCTCCCCTTTTCCCTCCTTGGATAAGGTACTAGGAGATTACAGTCTTTCTGTCCACCTACTTCCTATCTCCCACCTCATCCCACTACATACATCTACATACATCACATGTGCATTATAATTAGCCTATTGTCTATTCAAGGTGTGTGAGTTAATATTCATCAACCTGTTACACCTGAGTGCTTATAATTACAAGTTCACTAGTCCCCCCTCTCTCACTTCACCTTGCCCTACGACCCCGTCTCATAAAACTACTGGGAGGATGAGATAGGAAGTAGCATACTTTCTTTCAAGCCAATTATCTTTTTCTCCCCTCCACATTCCTTCAGACAGGCTTCATGGCTTGGTTGTTTGTCTCACTGTTTCTCAATCACTGAGTTCCTTCCTTCAATATATATACATAACTTTGCATTTCGGGGATGCAATCCTCATTTCTTGGGTTCCCTGCCTTATTCAGTGTTACCAAACTCAGCCGGTCACCAACTGGCACAACCTGGGTGGACCCCAGACCCCAAGCCAAACAGAGCCTGAGACAAGACTTTGAGCTGAAAGCAGTTTTATTCTAGTGCACTTTTAGGATAAACGGAGACAGAGGGGAGATGCTTCCCAAATCAGCATCTTGCAAGAGGTACAGAGAGCATACATTATATACCCAAGGTCACAAAGTTAATACATTGACCTTTTATTCTTTGTTCTGTTTGTTAGTTTACAGAAAAACTCTTTATTCTTCCAAGGACTCCCCTTCACAAACAGTGTCTGCTAATTATCTCCAAACTATTCACACCCACTTTATGTCTCTCACCTACTTGCAATTTATAATGTATTTTGCTACTTTTATTGAGATTCCAAGGGTCCCAGGCCAAAGGTTCCCCCCACTGGCCCCCTTTGACATCCAGTTGGCCTGTCCCAGGAGTTCACGCAGGGTTCACTACTCTCTGTTCGCCCCTCCTCCCTCCTGGACAGGAAATACAACATGGCTGCTGCTCTCTAGCCAAGTGGTCTTCCCTGGGTTAGCCTAATGGAGTGAAAGGGAGAGTTCCCGGTAACACCAATGAAGAGACACCAGGTAAACAAAACGGCCTCTGGTTTAGTTGTGTGTTAATTCACCCTGCACCTACCACTCTAATACAAAATAGGCAGGGTGTGACTGTATCATCTAGAAATAAATGCACACACACTTTTATATATGCTCAATCTCTAATCACAAAGTACTCATGCCAAGAAAGACACAGAACTTTTCCTCTGATCAATTTTAAGGTGACCTTTCCAAGATCTCCCAGCATATCAGTAGCAAAGCCAGAAATAGAACTGGGCTCTTTCCTTTTAGGTCAGGGCTTGTTGACTATTTAGCATGGGCCTGCACAAGTCACCGGGCAAGATTTGAATGAAGACAAGGGAACTTGTTTCTCTGTGTTTCAAAGAAATGGATTGGTTCCAGTCTTGTTCTCACTAGTGAGGTGGTAGTCCTATTCTCACTATATTAGAAACATAGAAACAGAGCAAGTCAGAAGGGGTCTCCCGGGCCATCTAGTCTGACCCCCGGCTCCAGCCGGCTCCGCTCACGACATGCCCACCATGTGCATGTCAAATATATATTCTTGAACTATATATTATAGACTACCTGCAGGGCTCGCATCACCTATCAACAGGTATCCCTGTTATAATGCAAGGCCTTCTGTGGTGGCCAGTTCATTCCCTTTACAAAAAGTCTACTCCTGATAGAAATGGTTAGTGAGTATGGATCAACACAGCTGCCCGTATTGTTGCTTTCTCCTGTGAGTATGGCTACAGCATCCTCAGAATGAGTGCTTGCACTTCAAAATATACCATGGCATCCTTGACTGGGGAGAACCCAGGAGTTGTGGGACTTTTTTCTTCTAAGCATGCACAGGTTTTTGCCCTGCATGTCTTAGGAAGTGCTTGTCGCATTTACAACGCTCTTTCACTTTATTTCATTGGGCAGTGTAACCTTGCAGGGGGCTAGCATGACCCTTTACTCCTTGAGATGAAGAGCAAAGTGCCACTCCACCCTCTGTACCTCACACAGAAGACAACCAAGTTGGCAGTCAAACTGTGCTCCCACAGTGCGGATGAATTTGCAGCTCCACCATCCTTGGTAATTTAACCTAGTGGGTTGGGGGAATGCAAGAGACGGCAGCTGAAAATGGTCAAGTGGGTTCATGTGATAGCAGCAAATTTCTTCCTAGGCTTGGCATGCCTCCTAACACAGGGATATGGTAGCATTTCTCCACCTAGGCTACATGAAAAGAGAATGGCTGGGCTTACCCATCATAACAAGCGACCGTGCATACTTTCCACAGTGTGTGGTTTTTTGCTGGATGTGCCCAGTTAATTCACTGTACCTAAAGAAAACACAGCAATACTAAGTTATTACATAAGTTATTTAAGCTACATGTCAGATGCAACTGCATATGCAGCCCCCTATCGATGCATTGATGAATTGTGTGAATTCTATGCCTCCTGTGGTGAGATTCAGATAACAGAGCAAGTCCTGATTAGGGATTGCATATTCAGAATCATGATTGGCATGTGCCATGTCTCACTGGAATTAAATAACCCACAATAAGCCATTGTGTTGTATGAACTGGAGCCGTGTATTGGAATTGAGGTTCTGGCCTCTATGTGTACCAGTAGAAATTGCAGCTTCATGAGCATCATATCTCCGAGCAAGAAGGCGAAAGGGATGTCCTCTTGTAGCCACACTTCTTCTGGGGCAAAATTCACTCTGCATGTGGGGAGGAGTGAGAGTCTTTAAATTTTAACTAGCTGACCTCAGGCTGGACTGGGGAGCCAGAAACACAGTGACACTCACCTGAAGTGCCTCTTAGACAAGCTGCTGCAAAGAAGCATGTGGTGGTGAAAAGAATGTTTCTCAGGAAGAGAAGAGAGCTTACCAGAGCTGCCTGTTATAAGAAAACTAGCCCTGGCTTTAATCTCAGAAAGCTGACATGCCACGCGCCACCCATTCAAATGACTCTGAGTCATTCCATTCTCTACATTTTGCTTCTCTTTCTCTACTCTGTAGCCTGGCTGTGGCTCAGTAAAATGCCTTATAAGCAGCTCACGTCCAAAGGCCACTTGAGTAGCCCTAAAACATTTCCTTCTGCAGACTGCAGCCAGCCAGCCAGCCTTCATGGGAAAAATATGTTTACAATCCCTTAAACTGCATTTTGATGATATGATGATGATATATACTGATAACTATATATCATCTCAATAGCAGTTTCTGGAGAACATGAACCAGCTCTACAGTTCCAGCTGTGTTACAGGCTGGGCTTGGACAACACAACTAGCCATTGCTGTGTTGTCCAGTGGTGGCAGTACTAGGTACTGAAAAGATACCTCTCCCTACCCCCCCGGGGGGGGGGGCAGGGGATCTCAAATTTGCATATGTTGATTTACATATGTCCTAAAGTCTGTAAAGGCCTTTGTCTTCTAAAGAGATCCCTATTTGTAAAAAGGGATGTAAAGAAAGAGAAGAGGGGGGCATTAAATTACAGAAAAGAAACCTCAGGCAGGAAGATTCAAGGAGGGGGTGGGTCCATCCACGTGTTACCAAAAAGCCAGTGAATATAGAGGGATCAGATGCAATGCCCATCATCACAGCCCCTGTTCCTTTTCTTCAGCAAATAGCCAAGGGCAGCAGGGCCGTGGGGCAGATAACCTCCCAGCGATTTAGGACTCCAAAGGAAGATTTCAGGGTTCAGGTTCTAGTAGGACTTCCCCTAACACCACCGTTGCAGTTGAGGCATTTGGGTTAATGCATGTGACAGTGAGCTTTCCCAATTTTACCCCTGGCTGAAACAAGAAAGCCTTCCATGTAGAATGGCTGTTTTAATGGAGACATTTCCATGAGTCTGGGGACTCTGGCTGGTGGTGCGTGATGTACCATTCTTGCCACTGCTAAGTAGGTGTGGATATGGGAACTCTGTTGGATTCCTTTGCATGAGTTTCATAATGGAACAAAGGCAATATATGAAGATAAGCCATTAAGATTTTATCTGGACATTTGGAACAGTGCTTTAGAATTGCATGCAAGCAATATTTCTAGATATAGGAATATGGCACTCTTCCCTATAACTTGTTGCATGTAATATGCTAGAGCTGAAAGTATGTAAGATTACCATAGGGGGTAGCCATTTTAGTCCATTACAACAAGGACAACAAAGAGTCTTCTGGCATCTTAAAGGCAAACAAATTTATTCCAGAAGAAGCTTTCACAGATACTGTCAACTTCAGCAGATGCACGAAGAGTTCACATCAAATTGGCACACGCAAACATGTGTGTGCACATGCACACACAGCCACATATGCAGGCTGAAGCTGGGTTGAGCTTGATGCAGACTGCCTTGTCAGGGGGAGGTGAAATACAAAAAGTACAGGCAGGGATCCTTACCTTAACAGTTGCCATTTACAAAAAAAAAAAAATTTGGGTGACAACAGATATCTTTACAGAAGTGATCTGATTAATATATGCAGTATAATCAAAAACAACTCACTTTTGCTCTTTATTCCAACCATGGAGAAATTAGAGTTGAATCTCTGGTTGGTGTCTGTCTTTGAAATGGCTTTGCTCAAGAATGGCCCCCTTATGGACAGAGTATCCTTGGAGCATGCAATGCCCCCTCGTCCTGCTTCCCCATTTCTGGTCATCGCTGTTCCATATGTCAGATTTGTGCCCTTCCGTCTTTTGTGCTAAGACAAGCCTGTTTTCCTGTGTAGACTGCATTGGGCATCGGTGGCAAATGATGGAGTGCATCCTATTGAAAGCTGAGCCAGGATGCCGTGGATGGTCTATTAACAGTGCCATCACCAGAATACATATAAGGACAGTTGACATTTGGATCTGTGTACCTGTCCCTGTACCTCCACTGGGAAGCCTGCTGTTGCTGGTAATTATCCTTCTTAGGATGGGTAGCAGGTAGAAGCAAGGGCGGGTCTACCTTCTGCGTCCTGTGAGAGGACAGTGTCACCATCCAGGGTGAGTTGTAGATCACTGATAGTATACCCGATGGTTTATGCTGGGGGTGAAAGGTATAGAAGCATAGAAATGTAGAAACAGAGTAAGTCAGAAGGGACCCCTGGCTCCAGTTGGCTCTGCTCATGAAATCCTGGAAATTTGTTAGCTTAATGTCCCCTCCAGGAAAATTGGTTGAAAGCATTATTAAAGATAGAGGTAAAATAAGCACATATAAAGACAGCCCTGAAAAATAATCAACATGGCTTCTGTGAAGGTAAGTAATGTTTTACTAGCCTTTTTGAGTTCTTTAGGAATGTCAGAAAACATGTGAATCAGAGTGATCTGGCAGACATTGTTTACTAGGGCTTCCAAATGACTTTTGACAAAGTCCCTCACCAAAGACTCCTGAGCAAACTTAGCAGTCATGGAATAAGAGGTGAGGTCTTCTTATGGATCAGTACCTGGTTGAAAAACAGAAAGCAGAGAGTAGGAATAGATGGTAAATTCTCACAATGGAGGGATGTGAATAGTGGGGTTTTGCACTGTATTAGGAACAATGCTTTTCAGCTTTTTCTTACGTTATCTGGAATTAAGAGTGAGCAATAAAGTGGCCAAGTTTGCTGGTGACACCACATTATTTAGAGTGTTTAAAACAAAAAGTGTCTGTGAGGAGCTCCAAACTGGGACAGTGGCACCAAAATGGCAAGATCATTTCACTGTAAGCAAATGTAACATGACACATGCTGGGGCAAAAAAAATCCCATCTTCACATATAGGCTGATGGGATCTGTTCTAGCAGTGGCAAAGGGAAAAAGCCCCAGGGTTGTAATGGATAGCTTGATGAAATGCCAACCCGGTGGGCCACTGCCATGAAAATGGCAAACACCATGTTAGGCATAATTATGAACACAATTGACTGCCAAGATGATATTTCCCTTATACAAACCTGTGGTGCATCCACACTAGGACTACCGTGTACAGTTCTGGTCACCATGCTTAAAACACAATATTGTGGAGTTTGGACATGTGCAACTAAAATGAGGTTGCAGCCAATCTCCTCTAAGGAAGGTTACAACTGCTGGGAATGTCTAGCTAAGGAAAAAGGGGAGTAGGGGGAGACATGACAGAGGTGTACACACTTCTACATAGTGCCCAGAGAGTGGATAGGGAGGTATTTTTCTCTCTTGCTCGTGATGCTGGAATCTATGGTGATCCCATGAAGCTGGTGGGAGTTTCAGGCCAGATGAAAGGAAGTACTTCTTCATACAGCACATAGTCAAACTATGGAATTCACTTCCACAAGATAAGAGAGAGAGCAGGCCATCTGGATGGTTTTAAAAGGTGATTGGACAAAATCATGAAGGCTACTCCTCAATGGCTGCTATCCTAGGATGACTATATGCTGCTACCAGTAGAAGTTGTCAGGAAATATGGGTGGGAGCGTTGCACTCATATTTGTGAGTTTCCTGTGGGTAGCTGGTTGGTCACTGTGTGAACAGAATGTGGGACTAAATAGTCAGATAAAGCGTGACTTTTATGCTATGTTATTTTACTAGGTGAATTTCCTCCAATGTCAGAGAGCAGGTCAACTGCCTTTTCCAAGATGGTGCTGCTGTGTACATCAGTTTAAATCAGCAAAAGAGTGCCTTTTCTTTATAACATCTTTTTTCATCTGAAAATGAAAAGGTTTGATTATCCAGGTTTGATTAGTCAACAAATTCATGAAAGTGAAGCACAGTGCAAAACCATGCATGCTGACTCAAAGTTTCTGTAAGTTCTGTGGGACTTAGTCAATGAGTTTAGGATAGCAGCAGAAAATAGATATAGTTAGGTAAAATTCCTGTGTGCACATATCTAGAAGTAAGCCCTATTGAATATAATTGGACATAAAGATTCAATGCTATAATTTGTTATAAATGTTCCTTTTTAATATAACAAGGGCTTTTCTATTATTTCTCTGTGCAAATGCACCAATTATTCTGGGAAAACATTAGTTTTTGTACAATGTCACAGTTTATGTTAAGCATACCAAGCCCATTCCAATCATCTCGTTTGTCCCATTCTTGAGTGGTAGTTATTCTTGATCTGCTTCAGCACATTGAAACTTGAGGCCCTCCATGAATGTGAGGTCTGGGCCAAATGACCCTCCTATCCCCCCACTCCCATGATAGGACCTGGGTGTAAGCTGTGTTGTTGGCACTAAAATTCAAAAAGTGCAGATAAGGATGATTACTTTAACAGTTGCCATTCACAAAGCTTAGTTGAGTGATGACACAGATATCCTCAGAATATTGAGCTGATTAGCCTTTGCAGTGTGATTTCTTAACACCTTTGTTTTCATTCAAACCACAGGAAAAAGCTTTGGCTCCCTGTGAATCCTATCTCTACAATATCATGTTGATGACTTTCTCTGAAATTCTTTTGTTTGAGAAAGATCATCTTAAGGTCATGGAGGCCTGGCAGGCTCCCATACCCTTGCCCTCCACACACACTGGTTTCTAAAAATTGCCATCCCTGATGTCAGATTTTGCAGAGACTGGCTTCCTCCTTATGTTTGATCTACACCAAAGAATAAATGGGACAAATTTGGTTTCGGCAATGGCAATGGGGAGAAGCAGCGGAAGGGACAGTTCAGCCTCCCAAGAAGAGGCAGCGCAGACCTTTCAATGGTTACCTTCCATCTCCAGGAACAAAGCTGGCCCACCTACAACACCACACCTGCCCCAGCATGGAAGGGATGGCAACAGGAAGACCAGCTTCTAAGCCTCCTGAAGCCTCCAGCCCCACAAGTGTTATGCAGGTTGATGGCTGCCGTTTAGCAGTGGGATGATGCTAAAGTGGGGTGGATGGTACTGGTGCTGGAAAGAGCAGGCTAAAAATAGCCTCTGTGCAGTTGTGCGCAGGTAGCCCAGCGCTTGATGGAAAAGATGAGTCTGCCAATGTTTACATGGCTGTC